GATATCATCGAATATTCATAGAATAAGTTAAATATTGATAATTGGACAGTTAAATGTAATAAAAGTGTTACATAACCAAGTACACACAACTGTGAACAACAATCCTTATGTGAAGATTAACGGAAATACCACTGGATGCTTAAACTAACATAAACTGATCTCGGAATTCGAACCAGTGAGCTTGTTTACTGATAGTTGAATGATATAATCATTCAAAAGTTTACATTCAGTGAATACTGACAAAACTGAATGAAAACCAACAGTTTCAATACGAACATCTTCTTAAAGACGGAAACAAGTTAGTCTTAGATAATCGTAAAATACCACTTACTGTTACATATTTCAACCTCTTCTTTGGAAAAGAATTACATAATTTCAAATTGTTTTGACACGTGAACTTAAAGAAATTTAAGCATTTAATACATAACAATCAGGTAAAGTCACGAACCTGTTTAATATTTCATTAATGTTCAACTAACTATTGTTATGTCATCATATACGTATATACACTGTTCACTATGACCTAATCATGTAAATGAATTGGATACAGGATTAGTTCTGACCTCTACAAGTCATACAAAATTATACCTTGATAGTGCAAGAATTATTTCTTCAATAAAAAAAAAGAACGTATGAGAGAGAATATTATCATAAAATCATGTATTTATTTTTGACATTATATGATTGAATTTCGTGATTTGACTACAGTTAATCAACCATAAGAAATCTAATAAGAAGAAGTTCAATTTGTCACACTACGAATGTCGAGGTATTGAAAATAGTAACAGTGTCAGTAGAAACATTTAGGCATGATAAATATGAATGAAGAAGAAAATTAGTTTCTGGAATGTTTCAGGATCTAAAGAGAAATAAATGATCAACGTATCTGCACCACTATCTTCTCCATTACCAGTAATACTTTTACTACGACTACCACGATCAGCAGGACCAGACAACATTCCAGCAGAGGCAATGAAAGCAGATGTGGAAGCACCCGCGAAAATATTTCACAACCTCTTCAAGAAAATTTGGGATGAGGAACAAGTACCATCAGATTCGAAAGAAGGATACCTCATCAAAATACCAAAGAAAGGCGATCTCAGCAAGTGTGAGAACTACACATCCATCACTCTTCCTTCAATACCAGGCAAAATCTTCAACAGGGTATTGTTAAACAGAATGAAGGACTTCGTATACGCCCAACTACTAGGTCAACAGTCTGGATTTCGTAAGGATCGATCGTGTACTGACCAAATTGCTACATTACGGATCATTGTGGAACAATCAATTGAATGGAACTCACCACTCTACATAAACTTCATCGACTAAGAGAAGGCATTCTATGGAGTGGATAGGAAAACACTGTGAAGGCTTCTTCCACACTACGGTGTGCCTGAGAAGATAGTTAACATCATAAGGGATTCTTCTAATGAATTAAGCTGCAAATTCGTACCCGATGGGCAGCTAGCAGACTCTTTTGAGGTGAAGACCGGTGTGAGGCAAGGTTGTTTACTCTCACCCTTTTTCTTTCTCCTGGTGATCGACTGGATTATGAAGACGTCGACATCTGGAGGGAAGCACGGTATCCAATGGACAGCTAGGACGCAGGTGACCTGGCTTTTCTACCGCACACGCAATAGCAAATGCAAGAGAAGGAGACCAGTGTAGCAGCAGCCTCTTCAGCAGTAGGTCTCAACATACATAAAGGGAAAAGCAAGATTATCCAATACAACACAGCACGAGCAAACTAAAACACATGACTTAGAGGACGTAAACGCCTTTATATATCTGGGCATCATCGACAATCAAGGTGGATCCGATGCAGATGTGAGGGCGCGGATTGGCAAAGCAACGGCTGCATTTCTACAGTTGAAAAATATCTGGAACTCCAAACAACTTTCAACCAAAACAAAAATCAGCATTTTCAATACAAATGTCAACACAGTCCTACTGTATGCAGCGGAAACTTGGAGAACTACGAAGGTCATCATCCAGAAGATACAAGTGTTTATTAACAGTTGTCTACGCAAAATACTTCGGATTCGTTGGCCAGACACCATCAGCAACAACTTACTGTGTGACAGAACAAACCAGATTCCAGTGGAGGAGGAAATCAGGAAGAAACGGTGGAAGTGGATAGGACAAACATTACGAAAAGCACCCAACTGCGTCACAAGACAAGTCCTCACATGGAACCCTGAAGGCAAAAGGAAAAGAGGAAGGCCAAGGAACACATTACGCCGAGAAATAGAGAAAGATATGAGAGGAATGAACAAACATTGGGCAGAACTGGAGAGGAAATCCCAGGACAGAGTTGGTTGGAGAAAACTGGTGTGTGGCCTATGCTCCATTGGGGGTAACAGGCGCAAGTAATGTCTACCACGATGGGATTTGAACGGACAATTGCGTCTCTGCGCTAACGTGGTATGGCAACCTGAACTGAATGTACTTACATACGAATTTCTACTTTGTAACTGACTGACTGACTGCACCATCATGACCGCTTCTAAGATACATCATACAACTCCTCCAACCATCAGTTACAACAATCACAAGGAACCTAACTAGGAATTCCGCAACTACTAATATAGTTCAGTTCAATAATAAAAACACTCATGAACTGATACTGAGTTCTAGCTTTAATGCTCCTACTATTTTTCTAACTTACTTATGCACTACCAAACATCACATGTTGATTTAAATGCTAATTGAAAATACATACAATAAGTATTCCAATAGAATGAATCAGTGAAGATTCTCTATCTCATCAATTAATCTGCTGTAGAAATTAGCTCACATCTCATGATATTATTACTCAATCAAATGACTAAAATGTTATTTAGTTCACTAGTCATGAAAACTGATCAATTATTGAAATACTTACTCATTGTGAAATGAATTATCGCATGAAATCATCAAAACTGGTTAATTTTTAAAGCCAAAATTTTGATGATGATGATAATAACGAGAACTCTAGGTTTTCATAGAAAGATTTTGAATATTATTCCTGACAACCAGAACTCTTACACGATATCAGTAGCCTGGAAGTGACAACCACCTTCAGACCCGTTAAAGCACACGAGACCGAATCGGTCACAATCAAATCCTTTCAAAATAACACCATGAAGATGGTAAAAAAATATGAAAATCGACAATCCTTCCAAGAAGTTAGCAAGTGATGAGGCTAAGGTGTAAAATATCAAGACTCAGGTTTTTGGTATAAAATAAAACTGACGATGTGAAGTTACGTCTAATTAGCGCTGTTTTGTATTTATTTCCATAAAGTATCACTGAACTTAATGGAAAGTGAAGAAACTATGAGGGTAATTAAGTGAGACTCTGACATACTACTGATGTTGGCTTGATAATTTTTGATGTTTCAGTGTCAATACGCATTTGATCGACCATCTGCAATTCACACTTTAGGCTAGTTATCCACGTTGTTTACATATGTTATATATATAAGCATAAACAAACTAGACATAATGTGGACGAATTAATCACTTAACCATAATCAACACTCACATGTCACTGTCGCAATCAGTCTTGTATACGTATAAAATTAATGAAATACATTATCAAATTTTATTCAAACGCTTACGAGATCAAATGATATTCATATTGAATTTCAATTGTACTAGATGATAACTGTCAGGTTGTTGTTGTATATATAGATATATTAGTATTTGAAAAATGAAGAAAATTATGAACGTCAATTTTTATTGACTACTTCTACAATTGTGTCAACGTAAGGATACAAGAAAAGAAAACAAAAATAAGAACACAACAGAAAAAACAATGAATGAAGTCAGTCAGGCCGTCAGTCAGTTTGAAACACATACACACAATTGAACTGAAATTGGAATTTTTCAACAAGAAGAAAAGCATACAACAACTACAACAACATATTGATGAATCAGTGTACAATTTCATATTATTCTCTTTCTCTCTCTCTCACTTTTTATATAACCTACCTTTTCATTTTTTTTTCCCTACATATTACTACTCATTAACAGACTGAAACATCGATGCTGTAAATGAGGTGAATATGTAAATTTTTTAAATGAATTAGGGCAAACATTGTAACATGTATTCACTGACATTGATGACTGAAGAAGACTGTATATTTTTACTTTGACACAGATGATATAAACTGGTCAACAAGTGAGTAGACATCGCGCATATATATATGACATACACGGGAATTATAGATATGCACTACTCAATAGTAATATTAGACAATATTAAGTAGTTTGTCTGTTTATAAAAACAAGGAAGAGGTAGAAGTAGGAGGTGGAGAAGCAAGACAACGGGGTAAGAATGTGTTCAATTATGATTACTATTATTATTATTATTATTATTATTATTATTATTAATTATTAGAATAATGTAAGAAATACAAAAAAAAGACAGGAGTAAACAAAATTATTCATACATCATAATAATTGATACCTAACTAACTAGTAATACACAACTAGGCATTGATATAACGTAGGGAAATAGTTAATAATTCACAGTCACCTATATAATAAGCATAGTTATATTACAATACATACACTGTAGGCTTCGATGGATAATCGATAATGAAAAATAATTGTGCAATTAATATATATATATATATATATATATGCACTGTTGTCAAAAAAATGTTCTTTTGTTTTCAACTGTACATAGGATTTTGAAGTAGTGATAATAATAATAATAATAATATATATTGTTATATATATATATATATATATATATATATATATATATATACATATTTCAACTGAACACCATCACCATCTATCTTTTTGCGATAGTATCCATTCATTTCAACAACAACAAAAACAACACTACTTCAAAGATATTTATTTTATTTAACGTTTTTTTTTCGGTGGGGGGGGGGTGGTTGGGCTATCTTGTTTGTTTGTTTTCTTTCATTTATATGTGAACGCAAACAATTCAAATTTATTTATCAGGGATAATAATCCGATATATATATATATATATATATATATATATATATATATATATATATATTTGAATTGTTTGCGTTCACATATAAATGAAAGAAAACAAACAAACAAGATAGCCCAACCACCCCCCTCACCGAAAAAAAAACGTTAAATAAAATAAATATCTTTGAAGTAGTGTTGTTTTTGTTGTTGTTGAAATGAATGGATACTATCACAAAAAGATAGATGGTGGTGATGTTCAGTTGAAATATGTGTAAGAGAGACAATAATCATTAAATATTATGATTCAGAAGCATTGTACAATGGAGTAGCAGAATCTGGTTCATCTGAATTTGATCCTAATTCTGAAGTTAATACAGATAGATTAGATAGATGTGATGTATTATGATTCAGGTAGATTGTACTTTCTTCTTCATCATTATCATTATTATTGGTAACATGTATAATATCAACTGGAGTATCACTGGTAGATTCGATAATTTCATTTGAACTTACAGAATTTATACCATGATTAAAGGTACTAGTAGTATTAGTAGTGTTAGTAGTAGTAGTAGTAGTAGTAGCAGTAGTACTAGCAATAATACTACTGTTACTAGTTTGAGTTTCAAAATTAGACGATACAGTAGAGACTACAGTGTCTGGAATTGATGTTCTAAATTGATTGTTTAAATTTGAATGAACTAAATGTGGAGGGAGTGGATCAATGACAGCTTGTTCTAAACCGGTTGTTAAATCACTCACTGATTTACTCTTTACACATTGAAAATCTACATGACGTGATTTATTCTCTTCTTCTTCCCAAGACATACGAAGAAATGGACATTGAACATAATTGTAAATTGCTTCCGGTCGAGCGCCTGGACGAAATTTCACTCGATCTTTACAAGTTGGATAGCCTTCAATACCAATACGTATTTTTTTAAGACTTCGTTCAAGTAATACTTGTTTAGCCACTTCACGATTTTCAATATATTTTAAAAATCGAAACATTTGTGTACTGTAAATAATATGTGAATTTAATTCATTATCAGGCATTTGTGGAGGATAGTCTGGATCCCAGTCAATCGTTTCATCATCTGTTACAATCACAATATGACATTCACGTTCACCTAATTGAGTACATTTGACAAGTAATGAAAGAATATGTGTTTCAAGAAATTGTCCAAATATACCATGTGCACCATCATTTGATAATTCATGTAAAAATGATCGGAAATTTTCACATCTTACAGTATGTTGATTGAATGGAATTAGAAAGTAATCACATGCTTCTTTGAGTTCTTGAACTGACACACCGGGTGGACAAGACATACGACCAATAAGATAATAATCAAGAATTGTACGAAATACCTGAGCTGAAATATTTGAATCTTGAGCAATTGAAATATCTGGTGGATGTGTTTGGAAATTATAATGAATTGTTGATGATGATGATGACGATGAATGTGTGGTAGTATTAGTAGTATGTGATTTTCTATCACTTGGTGGACTATTTTCCATTGATGTAGACTGAGGATAATTAGTATTATTAAGATTGTCATGCAAATATCTACTTTCTAGAAATTGTGAACTAAACATTCGTCCAAGCATTGTGTTAGGATGAGCTTGAAGCAGTTCAGCATCAATTACAAATCGAACACCATCTACTAGTAGACTAACACGTCGACGTCTACCAAGAGATGACTGTCTTGAGGTGCTGAAATTGCGAAAAAAAAATACATAAGTGATCAAGAGAATATGGTAAAAACCAAAAAGAACCATACATTAATGCACCCGATCTTCGACAGATATTATAATTTACTTGTATGCAAAGGTCTTAGAACAATTTTTGAGCAGTCAATTTTATACCATACAATCTGGCAGGCATGATGTACACTAATAAGGACACAAAGAACGAGTATCACAGCGGCAGCCATTAATATGACAGACCATCAAAATGGTGCATTTTAATGAAGGTAACCAATTAAAAAAAGGGAATATAATTTTTCGATCATATTACCTTGTAGGCCCATTTAGAACAACTGAGGAAGAACCTCTTTAGAGGCATGATTGAGAAATGTATGGTGGATTTCACGTTGAATGAGTTCTAAACACTAAAAACGCCTTAATTTTAAAGTTAAAATGGTCGTACACGATATTCCGTCAGTTCAGGTTGCCATACCGTATTAGCACAGAGACGCAATTGTCAGTTCAAATCCCATAATGGTGGAGATAGTAGAAGAACTAGCGGTAATGGAGAATATTAGGGATCGAAAATATTATTCAAGAAGTATAGTTCAGTGAGATAACTTAGGAAAGAGAAAGAGAAAGGTGATGAGGAATTCAGAAGATTAGAATTTCACAGAACACAAAGAGTGGATACACCTGCGCCATCGCAAATGGTTTTGAGCCGTGTAATCCAGGGTCTCTAACCATCGATTACTATCATCTCGCGGGCCCCAACCAAGTAGTCGATGCCTACCAATATGGCTCAGCCCAGTTGTTAGCAACTTGATGGATTTGTGCCATGTTTTGGTCTGGCCGCCCCTAGCTTTCTTCCAACCTATTCCTACTACACAAAACGTAGCTCGTCGAGGCAGTCGGTGGTTGGGCATCCGTAACACACGTCCCAACCACCTCAAGTGATGGAGTTTCAGTACTTCACTACACGTATCCCTGAAAACATTGTGCGTTGTACAATTCAACAAAGTTAATTGACCTATCCTGTAGATTGTCGACTTTCATAATAATCAAGTCAAATGACCAAATTTTACTCGATGATAATTAGATATTTTTTTCGATTAGAGTTAGAGAGATCAGTGTTTTTACACGTTGAAGCCATCAATCAATCATTGTCCAGATGAACACTGCTGATGAGTCCCATACCAGGACAAAACGGTCATCCAGTACTTCCAGGTTTCTAATGATGGTCTAACAATGATTGATTGATGATTCCAACGGATAATGAGATAAGCGAGTGGAACTTATTAGAGGGATCTGATGCTAATTATTATTAAGATTAGCAGATATGAACTATATCGTCTACGTAGTCAACATCGCTGAGAGGTTTTCCTAGCGGAAAATCGAGCAATAACTGGGTGGAGTGCACAAATATAGAATACGACCCTCTTTGGGCCTAACCTAAAATAGTCATGAACTTATTGTCTTTTAGAGGGGTCGAGCAACTCGAAATTAGATTTTATGTTGTCGTTGTCGAATGGTTACAGAAATCAATTTAAGTATCGACTAAAACCTAATGTTTTAAAATTACTTTAAGAGTTAGTAGTAATTCAGGGGATTTCGCGCTTTTGAAGGCGTATTTCATTTGGGGGTAGATGTAGGTTGGCTGGTCTTTGTAAAATCTTACTTCTGAAAAGTTGCTTGCATAGCAGAACTCCTTACCGCTCAAAAATGTTTTATCACCAAATTTTTCTCGCTTTGTACCTTCATTCCTCCAGATCAGGTAAACAGATGTTCGCGCTCACTGTTCACATTCGTAAATATTAGGAGTACCGACTTCTTTCTACTAAGGTTTGAAATGAGGTCAGCATGTCAACTAATAAAATTCCAGAGTGAAAAGCACAATTCAAGCCGTAAATCCTTACTACTCGACTAATATATACATATATATATATATATATATATATATATATATATATATATATACTACCGTTTAGCGACGGAATTCGACGAAACTGGTTAGATCAGATTGAGAGATATCTGTTGACATATCACGTATACATGATACCATTAAGCAGGGATGAAATCTCTGAACCTAGACAGGAAATAATTAATTTAAAACTCGATTAAATACATAGTTTAATAATGACAGCTTAAATCAAGTGATGGCGTCGAAGCAGTTAGTACATGGTGAGAACCACTTTCAAGTCAAATGAATCTCCACAAACACATGGATAAGAAAAAAAAGAGTACTTACTCAACTGGAGATGCCAAATTCACTTCACAAAATGGCAATGCTGACAGGGAGTAACGTCTCTGTTCCATGTTTGCTGATTGAAATTGTGTTTGGTTCATGCAACTATTGATTGAATGACGGCTATCAATACCATTGCGAGGATAAAATAATTTCGTATGCGGTGGTGATGATGACATAAAATCTAGACCAGAATCATCGTAAAATTCTCTTCCAATACTTGTAGGATTCATAACACCATTCGGTCCATGAACTGATCCATTATCTGAATGATAATGTAGTCTAGCAAAACTAGGACAGGATTCAGGTGGTGAATCACAATTGGCTAGTGAATGTACTCTATTTGAATGATGGTGATGTGGATAATTCTGTTTATGAACCAATGGACAATTTGTCGATTGGTGACTGTTATAACTATTATTTGGACAAAAATAATAGTTACCACCATTGCCAGAAACAACATGATTATACAGTTGACCTGATAATGAAGAAAATCTGTGATGACAGACATTATTTATTGTTGTTGTTGTCGACGACGACTGAGAAGTAGAAATAGTCGATGATCGCCTTCCTAATTGCATTCGTTCTAGTTGTGATGGCAGATATGTTGTATGACTATTACTATAATGATCATGAGTGTGATTTGTGAATGTACATGGAATGTTAGATGTATGTATGCATGAATTCGATCGAGTACAACATGATGCATTTATTAAAGAATTATTTGAAGACATTGTATGTTTCATTGAATTCTTTGTTGTAACAACAGTGTTAAGATTATCTGAGATTGTAGATTGTATATTTCCATTATTTATGATACTAATATTATTTTCATTGTCATTATTTCTGATATTGGTTGTTGTTTCTGTGATTTCAATGCTTGGATAATCCATATTAGAAGATGATTGATAATTTGTAGTCGGTATATTATCTGGTAAGGTCGGTGGTGGTGGTGGTACCGGTTCTGATGAAGAAGATAATGTCGATAATGGTTCAATGGTTGTTAAATTACAATTTGTTGGACGGTTTGTTTGACAAGCATTAGATAAATCAGTTTGTTTATTGATTCCTTGCAAACTAGGATCAAATGAAATCCAGTTTACGCCAATTGAATCACTAGGGATATTATCCATTAATGGATACATACATTTAAAATCAGTGGTGCCACCATAAGCAGTATGCTGTGTACAACAATAATAACGATTACTACTATTACTACAAAATGAACTTCGATTACTATGTGGTTGTGATGAATCTAAATGAATAGGACTAAGTGGATGATTTAATATCTCATAATCGTTTATATTATGCTGTTGGTACATATTATTATGCGATAAAACAGATGTGAATGGACGATCAACAGCGATTTGTCTTTGTAAATTATGTGTTGTTGGCGCTGCAGTAGTATTGTCTAAAATTCGAACACGATTTCGTTTATGACGTGTACTACCATTTCGAACATCTGATCTAGGTTTATTCCAATCTGAAGCAATTCCAGGAAGATGCGGTGATACACTTCTTGAATTCTGTGCTTCAAATATCCGATCACTTGGATGATCGCCAACAATTGATAAATGATCTGTTGTATCTGTTCCAATACTAGTTGTTCTATGTTGATTACGATTACGTCGACGTTTTTTATCACGTTTATTCCCAGAACTATGATTAAGTTTAACTGATGACGATGAACATGATGCACCATAACCACTTTCACCATCTACTTCAATTGAATGTTGATGTTGACATTTTCCAGACAATAAATCAATTGTACAATCTTGATTGTGAATATGAAAGTCATTATCTTCAAATTCTTCATTTATATTGTTATCTTTACCAATTTGATTTTCTTCATCTACTACTACTTCTTGTTCTTCATCGTCATCAGCATCGCTATCATCATCTTCATCATCATCATCATCTTCAGCATTGTCATCAGATAAATAACCAGGTGAGAAATGTGATGAGGAAGCTGATGTATTTGTCGCTGATCGGAAGAAACTATGATGTTGTCTTAATGCAGCGACAACAGCTTGAGCTAAAGGTGGTGCAGGGGAATTAGATGGACTTATAATATCATCAGTGTTGGACAGTTCGTTGAAATTGTTACCATTACATGTATTCGTTACATTATTGATTATATTCTATAAAAGAAAAATCATAAAAAAAAGTAGTGTAGAATACGAAGGATGATCTCAAAATACACATTGAAAATGATTTTATTTCGAATTCGATCATCACAAGTTAGAAACAATTTGTCGTATTGGAATCAGTGATGCTAGCTATACAATGAATCAGTTTTGTACCTGTTATTTTGTTGAAGTGTTTTTTTTGTAGTTTGTAGACTACTAACAGCATGATTACGTTGGTGCTGTTGTTTTTCATGTTGATTGCCGAATGCGACAGTAAAGTAGTGATTCGGACCGATACATAACTATGTCGGCTTTCAGTTGCTAACAATGGAATCATGATGTGCGTTTCGTCCAATTCAGGACTGTTTGGATGGACGTGAATGTCCCCCAATTTTGATATTTACACTGAGTCGTACTATCGACTCAGCAGCTGAGTCACGATGGTCACTTGTTCTTAAATTATTTATTTATATATTCATCGGCAATCCACTTCATCAACTATTCCTTTGAAGTGTTATTCCGGAGCAAATACGAAATTAAAGTGAAAATTTCATAATTTATACGTAATTACATTATCATAAAGTCTACTTGCTTGTATGAAAGCTACAATAATAATCAAGGCGTTAATCGGAAAGATTAACAAATAGAACTGAAAACGATCGGGACTTTTATTTCTTTTTATTTAAAAGTACTCAATACTATGGAAATTTTGAAAATAAACTGTGAAAATAATTTATGAACTTTAATGAACAGACTAACATTATTCATAGCTTTGATAGCATCAACTGAAGGAGGCGGGCTACGAGATTGACTTCCACGCTTATCTGAGAATTCGATATGTGAGAGTCTACGCTTTGTTCCCAATGTTGAAGAGGATATCTGAACTGTAGATGGTGGAGAAGAGGAACCACTTGGCTTTGATTTAGAATAGATACTTTTATTGATACTACTTGTAATTGCATCACTAGTACAAGTTATACTGGGTTCATAACATGAAGCAACATCACAAAGTGTTCGTTGAAACGACCCTGAGTCCATAAACTTTAAATGACTAGTAGATGTAGGTCTAGGGCCAGCTGAACTGGATGGTCTGAGGACTAGGCATGGCTTGGCTGCAATGGGATAGTGAGTGGGATCTGATTCTTGATCACAGACTGCACTAAGTGGCCTTGAAACACTACCAGTGCTGTGACTCCGACCTCGACCAGATACGGATTGATCAGATCTGGAAAATGAAAGATATACGGTACAAGCAACAATTTGATTAATAAATATCACTTAGGTTTACATATAACTTGTAAGAAGGATGTTATTGTTGTAAACATGATTATCGGTATGCGAAGGTATCGAGGTATCTGATTAATCTACTGATACACTGAGATACACTATACTTTTCATCAAAAACCGATAAGTTATGACGTCTTTAAACTAGAGTTTAATAGGTTCACTATCAACGTAATTTTACTCATTAATGTATAACTTCAAAAAAAGACTGAGCAATCTATCCAAAGCAACTTACATAAATTCTTAAAGCGAAAAATTGCTCATTAGTTATCGCAAGATAACGTCAAATGATGTCAATCTGATACAAAAGAAATATAGAGCGGGTCGACAACTGAAGAATGAGTAGTCATTGGAAATAAACAAATAGCATGAACGCAAATAGTTTGTAAACGTTGGAATCACTTCACAATGTCCAGGTTAGTGAAATAAATTACCGATTAGCTTACTCGTCACCCGAGTAATTTGCAATCGAGATAACTGTCGGAAGAGTGTTTAACCTCTTAAACTCGAACTTCTAAAGTCTTGTGAGAGTTAATGAAGAGCTATCATTCGAGTTTCACATTATTGATGTGTTTGTCTGTAGTTTATACTGACGGTCCTACTAAGAAAATATATGCTATACCCCAGATTTCTCTGAGATTAGCTTTGTTGTTCTAATCTATGGGACGGCATTTACCAATAATAACAATATGAAGCAATTATTACAACAGGGATGATTTGAAAATTGTTGACGTATTTCCGATTTGGTAATGTTTGGCAGCTAGTGTTTAATGATGTTATTTCCTGGATGACTGAATAAACCAACGTGAATGTTTTCGTCAAATCCTAATTTTGGGACAAAATGTATAGCCAGTACTTAATTAGTACTAATCAGTCATCGGATGGACATTTTTATATATTGTAAACATGAGATAGCTGTTGATCATATACGTTCTTGAAACATTCTTTAAAAAAGGGACTATGAAGTGAGGAAATACTGATGAAGGATGTGAGGTACTAGGTAAGTAATTGGGTTGTTAACCTCAGATAATAATTTTGGGTGTTTGACACACCTAAGGTATATGGGTTAAGTTAGCGAGAATTCCAGAGTCTAGGGAAAATGAAACTAAATACTGCATTGCAAATATTAGTCGATTGTTAGAAAACAAAAACAAGTGATGAGTTATCAAAAGTTTCGATAATGAAGGTTGGTGGTTAGTGTAACCCAGTAACAAAGCCAATGTTCGCAGAATCCGCTTTAGGTCATATTTTTGTCAGGCTTTGTAATGTTATTGGGTTACTAAAATCAAAATAAGTGAGTGGTTACAAGTTACAGTTTTTATATTATCGCTAAATAGCGATTACAACGGCGCAAACCTATTTAGTCGGTTACAGTTAACGAATACTTATTGTGAGGAGGTACGGTTTATTAGCCAAAGTACTCATGTGGAACCCAGTGCATCGAAAGTACAGTTAAATAGGTACGTTTTCAAACACCATTTATTATGACTTAAAAAAGAGGAAAACGATTCGGAAGATTTACAATTTTTTGCCTTATAGGTACTATAAATCAGGTTGGCGAAGTCTGACTAATTACATACAGTATATTTTACGTATGTTGTCCTAATTACAACTATTATTTTGATTATGTAGAGCTTTTGGATCTTCTATACCTGCCATGTGAACTGGGAACTTTGGTTGATAAAGTACTACTCTGGGTATGACTGAGTGACTTTATATACCTGAAAGTACCGAGATTCATTCTGTTAAGATAGACAGATACAACGCAGAACTTAGTACGTAATTACATCAGTTCAGGTTACCATACCACATTAGCACAGAGACGCAGCTGTCATTTCAAATCCAAGAGTGATGGCGATAGTAGAAGTATTAGCAGTAATCGAGAAGATTCTGTTAAAATCGGTTTTATGAGCAACTGATCTTAATACCTTGGTTATTAAGTTAGGCTATGATTTTATTTAACATTTTGCTCAGTGAACCCGGGTCATTTACAAATCGCACTTGTTTTTAAGCATCGACATTACCGATATTTATCTACTTGTATGACAGACTTTGATCGCAAATGATGACTACTACACTTATTCAACTACCGTTTAGTGATTGAGTTATTTGCATTGCGGTATAACGTTTGGATAGTACCTGCCAGGATAAAACAAGAGTACTGAAACTCAGTGGTTTTAACAGGGGTTTCTAGTCATCAATAATGTAGCAGAGGTTTGCGTCTAGAAGGATTTCAAAACTTTTTTGGTAATGGTGAACACCCAACAACCAAAATTTCGGGTCGCGAAGGCTAAAATAACATTCAAAACTGAAAAATTTAACAATGGTTTACTAACTCTAACCGGCTTTGCAGTACTGACTTAGAGTTAGATTTAATAAAACAATGTGCAGTACCGGGTATCAGTGGTTGTAACGGAATTCGGTGGTCCGCAAAATTACTGGACCTTATTGTAGCATGTAGTCATAGGATGAAGAACCACTCAGAGCCTTAAATAAAAATGTTTCACTAATCTAATACAGAACAAAGAATTTTCCATACTAGTACTAATGTGGCGTATAATTTAACCTAAGTGCATACCGCTCATCCTTTAAGAATATAGCAGCCCAGGTTCTTAGTCCACAAGCGTTAGTAAAGACTTGCTGGCTAATAAACACAAATTTCTTGTTCGGTCTCTACAAAATAAAACGATCCTTAACGATAATCCCAACACATATATGTCAACAAATTCAGAGGATCTCAATTAAACAAGAATGGGAAAGCAACGGCGAACTTTGGGGAAATATAGGCGGCACTATTCAAGAAAATTTGGTTTGAATACAGGAAACAGTGCAGCAAAATATCGCCTTCTTCACTTAGGCTGAAGAAATAATAAGGCATTTCACCTAAATGTCTCGAAACGAAGGGTTGATAAATCTACACATTAATGTTCGCCAAATAGTATAGTTGACCCTCTGCCTAAATAATCTAAACAATATGTAACAATAGACATTATGCATTTATTCCCCCTAGGTTCGCCTACTTTTCCTCATTCTTATATAATTGGGATCGTGATAGAAAGTTGTAAAATAGACTTACACTACATTTTGGGCAAAATCAGTGTTAACAGCTTGGACATTATCGTCATCAAGTGACATAACGATGTAAGGAGACTGTTTTGTCACCTGTGCGGTAGAATGTTAGAATGATTTACTGGAGGACGGAAAGTTGAGCGCCCCAAGGTCGAACTGCTTAAGGAGCTAAACTGTATTAATAAAACAATTACATTCTCTAATATCTAATATTTTTTCACTAGCTATTGGAAACCAATTTAGTTCTTTGCACCCAGTTCTTGTTCGTTCGATACGGTTCCAGGTATTTGGTTATGTCCAGTGTATGTGAGTCTAGCCACTTGACTACACTAATTCTAGTCAGTTGAGTTTTTATGCAGGTTAGTTTCAGGAAAGTAGGGTTTCTGGATACCAGCAGCTATCACGTTACCAGGCCGGAGGTAAGTTAGTTGCAATGTGGGAAGTAATGAGGAGAAAAATGGAATGCTAATAGGATTTTAGAATTAAGTAAACAGATGGATAATTTAGTTTACAAATTGATAGTGAAGATTGTGCGCGAGGACTGAAGTGTAAGCAATGGCGGCAGAATGTACATAATGTGACACTTCAACTGGTTTAGTTTTAAACCGTTTTTCACAGCCCACTGCTCAACAGATTTAGGGTCTCTTTGAAGCTCAATCGAATCCTCCTCTCTTCTAATGGACCTCCAGATCTTCGCATCGGCTGCGTAGACCGATGCCGCCGGGCTAACAGATGGTTGATAAATATCACGAGGAGAGGTGGATCTAAGATAGTCGTCCCCTTTTGAAACTCCTAATGTTGAGACTTGTCTACTCACGTGCACTCTGTTTACCTACCTGAGAAACTTTCTATTCTCAAGGTAGTCTCTGAGCCAAGATAAGATTGTGTCAGTGAAGCTCATTTTCGTAACCTTCGCAATCACGAATGAGTGAGATACTGTGTAAAAAGCTTTTGCGATGTTAAGGAGTATTATATGAAACGTTAGATTTAAGTTCTAGCAGGTTGTCTAGCTGTCTCATGCTTTGAGAAAATAAGGTGCGAACAACCTGTCTTTCCTAAACTCGTGATCAGCTTCATGGAGTATTTTTTCTCATCCATGTACTCCCTCATTTGTTCGTTCACCAGCCCTTCCATCACCTTCGATAGTATTGGTAGTAGTGTGGCTGGTCTGCAACTGAATAGGTCCTCCCTACCTCCACCCTTGAAGATTGGAGAGAGTTGATAGTTCCCATCCAGCTGTGAATTGGCGTGACTCCAGTGAATACCTAAACTGGTCGCATGTCGGTGGGCTGAAGGCTTCTGCACACTGATTTAAGATTATAGGGAGAACATTTTCATTTCTCGGCGACATTCAGAGACGTAAGGAGTTCAACTTTCTCAGTACTCGGTCATGAGTAAGTCAGATGTTACCTAAACCGTCAGGTGGCACTATTTTTGAGTGGTACTTTGAATGTGCAGCTACTTGGTTTAATTGATCAGTGAAGTTGTTGTTGAAGATCTTAGCCATTTTTAGGTAGGTAAGATCTTCGCCATTTGAACCTTTGAGAGCAAAAACATCCTGGTTTGTAAGTTTTCTTTGTGTCATGAACTTAAGCAAATGCTTATGTCTTGCCTGTATTCTGACAGCTAGCTTCATCTGAAAGCGTCTCCAATGACTTGGAACTTCGGTATTGCATCTGTTTCTCAGTGTCAAGTAAGAAGTACAGTCGGGATCCTCCAGAGAGAACTTTCATCTGCAACAGACTCTCTTTTTCGCCTGTGGCAAGCGTTCAGTGCCTTGTCTTACATATGGTTTTCTGATCGTTTGTTAGCAAACAATCCAAGTTCGAGGACTTCCCATACTTAGTCCATCTAGTGGCACTGCATACGTACTCATTAAGCTCAGAGCTTCTAGTAGCTGCGTCAAGTCGTCTTTGGAACCAGCTAGTGAGGGTTATACCCTAGTTGCTGAGATTTCGAGATGGGGTGTTGAAATTTCCAGGGTATTTGATCGAACACAAGGAGTGGCAATTGCAGTATTATCTCAGTCAGTTTATCTGGGGAGAAAATTGACCTTGCGTCGTCGGTACTTGAGAGTGCTCTCTTTCAGTTACTGTTTCCTATCTACGACAGTGAGCTGCTATCTTTAGTTGAGATATTTTAAATAAATCGGTGAAATGCTGATATGTTAATTTTGTAAAATATCTCTTTACCACTCCTCAAGGTAGTGACTTGACTAATCAACAAAGCCATATTCGAATCACTTCGCGCACGGATCCACTTTTAAGATGTCTTGGAAGACATATTAACCGATCCTATAAACTGAACGAACATCGCTCTTTCGTTTGGATGGCAGAAATATATTTAATACAGAGGCAGTGTTCATACACAGAAAACACGCACTACCAGAATTAATAATGACACCTCATTACAAATCGAAATTCTTCTAAATAAACGTATATGTTTTAAAGAGAATTACGGAAACATATTTATGAAGAAACATTAAGTAAAGGAAGATTCCAAACGTATTGCAAAAATATTCAGTGGATCCTTTCTTACCTTGCTAACGAAGAGAAACCCGACACCTGAAGTAAAGCCTACCCTAATACCTCCTTGAAGGGCCACTTATATAAGCTTTAATAGTCGGAATATAAGGATATTGAAATATTTCTGCATTGAAGGAATGTTTGGTGTAACATCTTCCAAGCTAAAAATGAAACTGATAGTCTTTGTAATATATTTCCTTTGTTATTTGCGTCATCGTTTTCTACAAAGCGTTGCCATACTACGAACACTATCAAAATTGTTCAGAAAAATAAGCAAGTAACTGAAGCCAACGCTCAAAAATTATATTTCATAAAATTATCTCTGTAGTATATAGAGTGGTTTAGAAAATAGTTACGGTTGTAATAATAATAATTTACTCTCAAATAACATGTTATAAGAGGCAATGAAAAATTTACTTGCCAATGATCTGAACTCGCTTTACTAGCATGGGCTTATGATAATTAGAGTATGTGATCAGTGTCTATCTGAATGATTTTGCTCTACTAAGGGATTACTGCTTCCCTGTGTCCGTTCGATCCTTTGATTTCAAGAAAGCCTTTGAAGGTCTCTCATTAGACCAAAATATTGCTGGATCAGTAACCTATCATATTTATAGTTTTCATCATTCTAAACAGAACTGAAGGAAGTGGCACATAGTGGTAACTCTTTAACCATCAAGATAAACAACTAGCGCTTTTCTCCTGAGGAAGTAAATTGGGTCCTTCTGTCATCCCATGAGCAGAAACAATGCATACACAACCACTAAATATGTAAGATCACGCCTACATGCTGTTGATCTAAAGATGGTCAACAGCCTTGGGCCTAGAGTTTTTTGGAAAAGGTCTATCACTGATTTGAATTGAGCCTAACGACTTATAAATCTGGAGTAAAAGTTGTTATTACTACACAGCAACAAAAAGTATGGGATCAATTTTTTTGAAAAATCACTACTTACGAGCACTTCTCTTGAACAAGTACAAAGCCAACACAAGAAATTCAGTGCACAATCTCTGTATTATTCTCAGAACGTACCTCTTCTATCATTTCTGGATGTGAACGACTGGTGAGTTTTGTTACTATCACCATTGATCGTCAAAAATATTGCCTTCACTGGGTTACGGACTTACTTGTTTGGACTTTTACGTACATAATTGGACATTTGCCGATTCCCTGTTTTAGTATGGCATCTTGAAATATCTACTCTGAGACCTAAATATTGAAGGTTTACGGCAAACTTTGTTATACTAATTATTAAAATGAAATATGGACTTTGATTGCCCCAAATTTACGAAAAAACATTGGTTCCTGTATTGGGATTCGGTTTACTGTTATTTTGTTTGCAATTTATGACTTTGTGTTGAGATTGCAATACTGCTAGACGCAGGGACTTCAACACCCCTTATCAAGGAGGTTTCCTGAATAATCTAAGACATAAAACCCAGAAAAAACGATGTCGTTAATTAATCATGGCGAGTGGTGACCCTCTGAAAGTGTGCTCTAAGACGAGCATATGTTTCGACATTAGTTCTTAGTTCGACCTCTATTTACTTCGGAAATGATACTTGTAAATGGATTTCTACCGTAGCAGTTCAAATGGTTTCAGTAAGTGCAATCTGAACTCGTATCTCCCAGTCCAAAGTCCAGAAAACGCAAAAATTCTAGGAGAAAACGGTCTGTATTATGTTAAAAGATGGAAATACAAAGCAATACCTGGAATTGATGCACCTTCCAGGTTACAATTACTCCGAAGAGTATCCAACAAAGATGAATAAGTGACGTTAAGTCCAACTGCTACCGGATCAATCCAAATATGGCTGTAGCCATATTAAAGATCAAATTTAAACAACATCTATACAGTTCAGAATCAATAACAAAAACTTCAATATAAGTACAAAATATAGAAATAATAACAATATACAATGATAAAATCTCAAATTGGAATCAAATAAAATACCAAAAATGTCAACAGAAAAAGTCCGTCATGTCATAACAAAAATATGTAAACATGGAGGGATTTTCCAAAATACAAAACATTCAAAAAGGATTCTACAATACTCGTGGTTGATTTCACGTCAAAACATCAAGTTTATTTATACATGAACAGGTTGGAATCGAAAACTGATGAGGCTATGGTACTCCTGCACCACTATGAGATGCCGACTAAAACTGGTTTTCCACAAAACGCTGAGAGATCTGAGCATTAGTAAATTTCTTTTAAAACTTGTCATTATCTACTGGATCGACCTTTTCCTGTGCTCACGAACCACTGGCTTCCTTCTTTTGGCGAACCAGGAGGACAAGTGGTACGGTAGCAAGAACGATTAGAAGAGTTTGATTTCATATGCAAGTATCGTTTAGGAAGCCGATATGCAAACGCGGATGATCTGTCTCGCATACCTCAGTCCCCAGATACCTCTAGTTCAATTCTTAGTACAGCCCTTGAGACCGATTGGCCTTCTCTGCAAGCAGAAGATCCGGACCTGCAGATCATTCACCGAAGACACTTAAATAAAAACAATGAAACATATGTGAAGTAATTCAAAGATTAGTCCGTATTTATAACCAAGTGTAGCAACCTAAATTTACATGGCAACACGTAATTTATAAGCAGTGAGTCGAGGCAAACCCTATTGCCGGTACCGCGGGTAAAAGTGTGGAGTAATGTGGAGCAGATGCATCTTGAACTTGGTCATTCAGTTGAACGAAGGACTAAATACGCCGTTAGCCCGCAGTTTTTGTGGACATTCATACATGAAGATGCAATGGAATTTTGCAGGAATTGCAACACGTGTTGCCGAATGAAATCACTGTAGATGAATTTTCTACCGTAGCAGTTCAGTTTGTTTCCAGTACGTGTACGTCGAACGCGCCCTCTCCTAGTCCAATATCAGAACACAATAATTCTAGGAGAAAGTGGTCTATATTATGGTAAAATGGAAATACAAACAAATACCTGACTTTTAATACACCTTCCAAGTCCCAATTACCCTGATGGGTATCCAGTTCCAAAAGAATAGGTGATGCTAGTATTAACTGCAACGATATCAAATCCAAATATGGCTGTAGCCATATTATATATCAAATTTAAACAACATGTGTACAGTTCAGAAGCAAGCATGAAAACTTCAATATAAGTACAAAATATAGAAATAATAACATTATACAATGATAAAATCTCAAAATGGAATCAAATAGAGTACCAAAATGTCAACAGAAAGAATCAGTCATATCATAACAAAAATATATAAACATGGAGGGATTTTCCAAAAAACAAAAGATTCTACAATCACGTTGGCAGAAATCTCGTGCGCCGATAATTCCGATGATTAAAACAGGACCACACCAGCGAGGGGGAATGGATATCATCTGACCACTGACAATGACAACCAAGGAAATCGCTACAATCTTGTTATGGTGGATTATTTTACTAAATGGTGTGAGGCAATACCCATTCAGCAGTAAGTCTCCCTCACGGTTGCCCGAAATTTCACTGATTATTGGGTTTCCCACCACAGTGCCCCGTTCTTACACCATTCCGGATAAGATCCAGCCTCTCACCGCTCAAATATGACGGCTATTAGAAACCAGGAAGATACTCTATTGCGTATCACCCAGAGGGTAAGGCCCTCGTAGAAAGCACAAACAGAACTATTAAAGCCACCTTACAGTCTTTCGTCAGCAGGTCGTCACCGGAGTTGTGAGTACCTATTGTGCACCTTCCTTATTTGTATTCTACTATTGAAAATGTGGCTGTATTATACTGTTTCTGTCAGTGATATGGTGTAAATATGTTATCAGAAACTGGCTCTTATACCTAATTTAACTGCTGTAACTTTTACAGTAAATGTGAAAGAATTTGTGACAATTAGATCTGGCCTGTAAACTGGCGTGACTCTTGTAACGTAGTTATTTGAGAATAAATATTATTATTATTACTGTTTTCGAAAAAGGCACTGCTCATCACTGTTTCAGTTTAAACGACCAGGTTTAGGAAGAAAGAATGCCCTGACCAATAATTAGGGTAATAATTTATTCTCAAAAAATGTGTTACGAGAGGCATGCCAATTTACAGGTATGATAAATATATTGAAATTGCCAAAATATTCACTGTAAAATGTTTATCCGTTAGATAAATATTTCACAAGATACACTGGCATTCTATGAAGGGCTGATATTTTCAACATAAAATTGTTAATGATTTTTCAGACTCTGGAATGTACAATACAATAGCGGAACAGAAAATACTCTTGTTTAAACCTAAATCATGATTCGGTAGACACGTTTCTGACTAAAACAAAGGCATAATTATTCAGAAGCTCCATTTTTTATATTGGAACACCAGCTGTGCAACCTGCACTTATATAGGTTTATGAAGACAAATCACTAGTACGATAACGAATGGGCAAATGATTGTATGAATAGAGAAGATTCGAACGAACTTAATTGTTAGAAATTACGTCAAGGTACGTAATATGATGATGAAGACACAGTGATTTGATGCTTTGGTGATAGTTCATTTATTGTTTTTTAACACTGTTGCTCAAGAATTCTCTAATGAGATCTTTTTCAACATAATTTTCCAAATCTGCTAGTAATAGGACTTTTTGGTTAGAAGTTAAACTAGTTCAAGAGTACAAACACGGGTCATGGAACTGGTTGGCTTGGGAAAGTAACTAAAATATGATTGATTAGTTACATCATGCTAGGCGAAGAGAATATCCTACCGCACAGATATGAGTAGACTGAGGTTTTCGCTGCACCGTCATGAAGGCTGGTCAGGTACACCACTTTCCCTCCTTTTGTGATTTTAGGCTCTCTTCAGTTTAGTGGCAGGTTTTATAAATGTTTTAGTCTAGGCTCTATTTTTGTAAACCTGTCAGAATAGGCTTTTTCGAACTCTATGTTACAAATAAGCCAGACAACTTTAGGTAATGAATGTTGGACTAAATTTCATGGCATATCATAGCATATCACAGTACTATTAAGTTTATTAATGGTATAAACTGTAAGATATGAGCCAGTTCAAAGATTCTCTAGGGAATTGAAGGATGGGCAGAGGAAGAAAGAAAATGAGTAAAAACAGTGGTAAAAACTGATGAATGAGGGGATAAATCGGTAAGAAAACAAGGTATTTAGATGTTAATGAATTTAGGAAAAGAAATTAAATAAAACATTATTATGTGAACAAGAAGGAACTGACAATAATACAGAAAGTTTGAGTTCCTTCTGATCAACAGTAATTGAGCAGTATCTATGGATCTTTCAGTTTACCTGTCTACTAAAAATAAAGACTGAAAGTGCTGTGAAGGATGAGAAGATAGTGATGCGACTTTATATATACAGTAGACTCCGAACGTCAGGGGTGGGAGAATAAAAGAGTGACATAATACTGTTGGCAGCAGTAGGGTGATCACTAATGGGCTCGTACTTTGAAGGTTTTAAATTTTTTCAGGTGATTTATTTTTCTCTTATTCCGATCGCTGTACTGGTGGTCAGCGGTTTATATAAACTAACGTTTTATACCCACACATCGGTCATTTTTATTTTAGCTTTTTACCGTAGGTTTTGGCTCCATACTCAGTGCTCTAGAAATATTGGACTCGATCCTATTTCTAGGCGATTTCCTTCTAACAAGGTAATTTTCAATACACACTGTCCATTTGGTGCAAATTCTACAAACCAGTGACTCTACAAACATGTCGCGTTTATCTAAAAAACATTTAATTTCGCCTGTCGTATACAACACCTGTAAAAGATCCAAATCCGCTACCAAAGTGAATCAAAATAAGCTTTGCGAGAACGTTGATCCATCCATATCGTCTTCATACTGGATCACTAGAATTGTGCCATGAACTTGAGCACGACCTCTCTCTACCTTGTATACCGCTCACAGATATAAACACAACCAAACTCAAGCCGGGTAGCTTGACACCAACTGCCTCCTGGATTTTATTCGCAACAGATACCTGCGAGCACCTGCTAGAAAGTGTGACTGGTCTTACACACTTATAGAGCCCAGAAGCGGATACGGTTTATAACAACCCACAGATTACCAGTAAGTCTGTCCACAAATAGGACATCTAGTGATGTAGATCTGAACTGTTCGCCTACAGTTATGTGTAACGGACTAGTCGCATTACTACGCGTTACTACTACTATGAAGATAGACTCCAGCACATGGGTTTATTCTTTCTGAGTTAGGAGAGAAACAAGTGTGATCTGATCACGGCATAAAACGTAATAAGCACTCCAAATCATGCAAACGTTAACATCTTACTAAAGTATCACCACCAAGTTCTTTAAGGTGACCATCAAAAAATCGCGCAACGAACATCTGGATTGTTGCACCCGTTTTCTCATAAAGGGTTGTTGCAACTCGGAATACTTTCTCAGAAGAAGTGACCACAGCACCCTCAGTGGACAGATTTAAGAAGCGACTTGATAAGCATATACTCACATACGGTTTATCATCTGACTCTCGGTCCATCTGTGCCTGATGCATGTCTCGAAACTTGTTAGTTGTTATAGCTGCCACTTCCTCATATCATTTACCTGTTCTGTCTCGTTAATTATCTCCGTTTCTTCCTCTTTACTTACTCTTCAGTCTTCTCAGTCCATCTTCAGTTCAAATTAATTAACAAGCTTAACTATTTACATTTTTCTGAAATTTCCGTTTTCTTACATAAATTTGAATTTTTTAATTACTTTTTAGATTGCAGATAACTGGCCTTCTGCCTTGTAATGTAATAGCTGTATGTATCCGGAAAGCCTACTGCCATGAAACAAACGCAGTCATTCAAATCCTGGAACATGCAAATTGATAAATTACTGCTCACTCACTAGAATTAGTACAGTCTAGTGGTTAGATTAACATCCATTAAATACTAGTTAATATCTGGATTCATACAAAAAGAACAAGAATGGACTGCGAAAAAACCAATTGGTTCATACAAACCCGTGAAAAATATATTGAATATTGGATGTTTTCATAGAAACAGTTTGCGAAATTTTTTGAAACGATGTCCTTGAAAGGCCATATAAAAAAAATTTACATTAAAGAAGAAGAAGTAAAAGATGATGGACCTTCAGTAGATTCAAGTGATATTGAAGAAAGGCTTGCTGCTCGTCGCATAAGAATACAAAAACGGCTGGAGCATTTGAAGCAAGTTCATCTGACAAACTGATTGATTTGTATTAAAAATAGAAGCGACGCTCATTCTGAGGAAAGCAATGCAAGCAAAGACGAAATTGGGTTAGGGAAATCTCAGATCGAACTGAGCAGCAAAAAGATATCCAAACTTATCCGTGATGGAGAAACGTTCATTACTAATGTTCGTGTTGCATGTGATGCCAGAGAATATCTGAAAAGAGCGGAAGATTATGAACTTAATCAAAACAGAATTCGCGTTTTAGAAGATGAAGCAACGAGAAGCCTGGAAGAATTCAATAAAGTATGGTAGTTCTCTCAAGTAAAATTAGATCTATCTGTCTAGATGCATATATATGAATTTCTGTTTAAGGATAAAATCTAAACTATTCTTAAACTAAATGGAATTAATTTTAAAACCTTTTTTACGCAAAATTAGAGTCAGTAGTTTAGTTTTCTTAAGGTTACTGTCACTATGTATATCCTTGGTTGGCAGTTTCATGGTTCAACAATAAGATACTTTATTAGTTCCTTATTTCCAAACGTAATGATGCCTCTACATGCACTAGAATCACTGCCTTAGAGTAGGAGCCGATAATGGAGCAGAAAATTCTTTAAAATAGTGTGTCTTTAAGAAAATATACCTTTGAACAACGGTATGCAGTTATTTTACATAAAATAGCGGTACTGTTTATACTAATTTAACTCCATAATTAACTGACAAATGTACTAAGGGGGGATGCACTTAGTTCCAGTATCCAACATCCAATATCTTTTTTACGAGCCTGTATAAACCAGTTGGTTTATTTGTGCTCGATTATCATTCTTTCGGTACTGTTTCAAGTATTTGGTAGTTCGTCTTAATCAAAACAGTATAGTCAGTGTCTAAGCTGGAACAACATGGGCTATTCATACCCGTACTTTATTTTACTTTTTAAACTGCTCTGAGGAAGTTCTAGTTATCCACTGCGGAATGGACTTTGATTTTAGTGAAAATACACTGAATTTGACGCATGTATGGGAATCACTGTTATGTTTATCGGTGAAAAGAGATTTTCTTGATCACTGGAAGTGAAGTAATCAACACTAGTAGGAAGTAATGAAAATCACTGACGAACAGATATATTTCTGGATAAGTTCTGAAGTAGGTTCTGGTCGGTGGCGAAGCCTAAACTATCACTTTTTAGGATAAAATCGTTCATTTCTAAGCCTTTGTATCGGTTTACTCAGTTCCTTGGAGGTGAAATACTTTTACTGACTATAAGACCGGTAACTGTGCATATTTATTCACGTATCTATAATAGTTTGATGATACTTTTCAAAAGGTTAGTGATGTTTACCTACTGACCAGTCAGTCAATCAGTTGCAACGTAGAACTTCGCACGTAAGTACATCAGTTCATGTCGCCATACCACATCAGCACTGAGAAGTAATTGTCAATTCAAATCCAATAGTAGAAGAGGTAGTAAAGGTATTAGAAGTAATCGGAGAGGTTAGAATTAGAAGATATTATTCACGAAGTATGATTCAATGAGACAAGTTTAGAAAGTAAAAACTAGAGATGTTGAAGAATCCAGAAGATTAGGATTTGAGAGAACACAAAGAATAAATGCACCGGCGCCATTGCGAACGATTTTGAGCCATGTCATTCAAGGTCTCTAACCATCGATTATTATCATCTCGCGGACCCCAACCAGGTAGTCGATAACTACAGACATAGCTCAGTCCACTTGTCAATGACTTCATGGATTTCTGCCATGTTTTGGTCTGGCCGCCCCTAGCTTTCTTCCAACCTATTCCTACACGACAAAACAAAGCTCGACGAGGCAGTCAGTGGTTGGGCATACGCAACACGTGTCCCAACCACCTCAACTGATGAAGTTTCACCACTTCATCTATTGATCTGCCATTCTTACCTAGTACCCGTTTCCTAATAACAGCGTTGCTCACTCGGTTGTCCCACGATATACGAGCAATGCTTCGAAGACACCTATGATCGAAAACCAATAACCGACGAGTATCTTCTACTCTCATTGGCCATGTTTCACAGCCATAAAGTAAGACGGAGTGAACCACTGCGCAGTACACTCGTCCTTTAGTCAGCAAACGGATATCTCGCCTACGCCATAAGTGACGCAGGTTGGCAAAAGCCAATCGAACCTTCTGTATCCGTGCCGAGATTTCGTCAGTCACCAGGCCATCAGCACTGATGAGACTCCCAAGATAAGTGAAGCGGTCTACACGTTCGACCACTTCACTCCCTATCACTAGTTCAGGTGCCGATGCAACCCAATCTTGAAGCAACATTTTGCATTTCGAGGGGGAAAACCGCATCCCGAACATGCTTGCATTGTTGCTTAGGGTAGTCAGAAGACTCTGCATTTTGTCAGCGTCTTCACCAAGTAGGACAATGTCATCGGCATATTCTAAGTCAATAAGCGAGCGACCTGGTAAAAGGTCTACTCCTGAAAATTCAGACGAGGATAAGGTTAACTCTAGGAGCATGTCTATGATAAAATTAAACAAGAATGGAGAGAGTGGACATCCCTGACGGACACCACTTGATGTAGAGAATTCCGGTGACAGTTCGCCATAAGCTCTCACTCGACCAGTGGTGTTTGAGTAGAGAGCTTGTATGAGGTTAATGTACTTATTTGGTACATCTTTCAGTGACAGACACTGCCAGAGAACCTCACGATCAACAGAGTCAAATGCCGTCTTAAGGTCTAGGAAAACAACAATTGTAGGACGCTTAAATGTGTGTCTATGTTCCAGGAGCTGTCTGAGTGTGAAGACGTGGTCTATACAGCCACGTCCAGGTCGAAAACCAGCCTGGTTTTCTCGAGTCTGCTCTTCACGAGCTTTCGTTAAGCGTCGAAGTATTACTGAAGCTAACAGTTTAGAATTTATATTAGTTAGACTTATCCCCCTGTGATTGTCACAAGAAGAATTCTGTCCTTTCTTATAGATTGGGACAATCAGTGATTGAGACCAGTCGGATGGGATTACGTCCAGTTCCCAGATTCTACCTAAGATCTCAGTCAATCTAGCAGATAAAACTGGACCACCATCCTTAAATATCTCAGGGGTCAGTCTATCAGGACCCACAGCTCGTCCTCGCTTCAGATTTCCTAACGCTTTTTCAACTTCATTAAGACTAGGGGGACTTAGGTCGATTTGCCCTTCAGGATGACTGGAGATCGTGGGTAACCGAAGAGTGGCTCGTGGCCAGTTGAACTGATCCCTAAAGTGTTCTACCCATCGATCCACTCTCCTGGATTGAGAATAAATAATAGTCCCGTCATATTCTGAGATAGTCTCACTTACACTAGGATTCCTAATACCAGTTTCCTTGATAAGTCGGAAAAGTTGTCTACTGTTGCCGATCGCCGCTGCCTTTTCCATCGCTTTTGCTTTCGCCACCCACCACTGTTCGCGATCATTACACAGGCTTTTTATAAGCCTGCGCCTAAGTTGACTTCGTTCTTCATCATGTTCAGAGCCAGATGGGATGAGTTTTCGGGCATCCTCTATCGAACCCCTCCATCGGTGGCTGATGGCGATGTGATCTAGTTGAGTCCAACGTTGAAACGACTTTGGAGGTCGCCAGGTCAACAGATGCTTTTCCTTATGCCTAAAGTTAGTGTTTGCTAAGAATAGGCGGTTGTCTGAGCATGCTTGCAACAGACGGTCACCATTGTCTGTTCTCTGAGCCGCGACACCATAACATCCACCTAGGTGTCTCTCCTGCTCACTTAGTCTACCTACTTGAACATTAAAGTCACCAGCCATTATTACTATATCAGAGCGCCTAGCTTTTTGGAGGAGGTCCGAAAGCTTTCTGTAAAACTCATCCTTAACCTCGTCTGAACTGCATTCAGTGGGGGCATAGGCAGATACGATGAAGAGGCAACGGCGATTGTCCCTATCTTTCCGAGTCCTTACTGTCCCGTTTAGTCGGACAGCGCACAATCGACTATCTATTGGGATCCAGTCAAGGAGAGATTGTTCTGCCCTACGACTCAATGCTATGCCTACGCCAGCAAGACCCCTGGAAGCAGCATCAGGGCTACCGGATACACGAAGAGTAAATCGAGCTGCTTCTTTTTGACAAGGTGAAATCAGATTAATAATTTTACTAGAATCCTGTATGCGCGTTTCCGAGACGCAGCATACATCGATGGCACGAGTTTCCAAAGTCCTAGCTAAGGAAGCCTGTTGCCCTATTTGACACAATGTCCGTACATTAAATGCTCCAACATGTAGTCTAGAGCGATGTTTAAGGAGACCAGGAACGACGTTTCGCAAACTCGTATCGTCTGCATTAGCTGTGCATTGTGATGAATGAATGTGAGAAGAGTTAGTCGTGGAGATAAGAGAGGTACTAGGGGGTGTAGGAAGGATTTGATTTTGACCAATTTGGTCTCGCGTGCTGTTACGGGTATGAGGGCGGTTGTCACTTCCCGGCTGCCCACACCGTGGAAGGTTGTTTCTTGAGGGACCTGAAAAGGAAGATAGATTAGTGTTGGTGCGTGACCGCAGAGCCCAAGGGACAACTGCTTGAGGCCGGTCACGCACGGCCTTTTTAAGAAATGTTTTTTGAGGATTAGCTCCGTTCTTAAAGGCCCTTAGTGGGCACCCTTACCCAAGGAGACGGAAATCCGTGAGTTAGGGGAGGTGTGACATTTTTAGGGCCGACCTTTTCTAACCCTTCCTTCCTTGTGAGAAGGCAGCATCGCTGCACATGCTGGTTGTCCGAGGGAAACACCTTACTGCTGTCACACCCCTCTGCAGTCAGCAGTACGACTTCGCCCTCAGACCTTGGGTAGCTGCTTTTAGTCTCATCGTTCTCCAATCGACCTGTCTGGTGTGGTAGAACCTTGAGGAACATATGTTCCAGCCAGCATAGCTCGGTTGGGTCATCACGATAGGCAAGCCCGACCACCACGTCAAGGTAGCAGCTTCGGTCGGGTTACCTACTGGTACATGGAATATTTCTCAAATGATATGAATTAATTGCATCGTTTAAACTAATGCAACTTATTGGTGCTTCCTAAAATATAAGTTGTCTAGAGAATAGAATACAATGTGGAGTACTGCTAAAGTTTGTTAGATTAATGACGAATATTGAATTTCTGATAGAGACCAGAAAATGACCTCAATTTTGAGAAACCGCACTACTTAGCTAAATTTTGTACATTCAAAAATTTGAAAATTTTACTATTCACCGTCAGTATTGTAACTCTGCCTTCGCTTGTTTGTTTAGCAATTAATAGATAGTTTACTTTCAAATAGGAAACGTTTTCTAATAAAATTGCACACAATTTATATCGACTTTGCCTATTAATTAATTACTGCTGAACAAATGGTGAATTGTCGGTGTTTGCACTGTTGAGTATACTCAAAACTTATCATATTTATTCAGACAACAAGTTAGTTGAATCGGAGAGAGCCATTTATAAATGCAATACTAGCTGACAGGTTTATGTGAAACTGAAATATCAAAAAAAGAAACACTTTTCTTTGTTAGCGTTCATTCATTTGATCATTAATTTATTGATCACTAATTCATCGAAACGTTGCAAAAAATTTTTATATCATTTCATTGAGTTTCATTATATATCAAATAATTTTTTATATTTTAAAATTCTACTTTCTGTAGATAACTGAACAATGGGACATGGCACAAGGAAGCGAATTATTAGATGAAACGAAAGAGGTAAGATTAATAATTTTATTTTTAAAAAACAGATTTCAATAACTAGGATAGAAATTTTAAGTTAGATTTTGACTGATTATTTAACAATTGTATATTTTTTAACGTTTTTAGATATTAGACAAACAAAACACATTGTGTAAAAGCTTGATAGCTGAGAAAAACAATTTGATTAACGAATTGAATTCGGTAAGTCACTAAGTTGTTTTATAGCTTATAAAGACAAGACATCATGTACAGGACCAATAAGCTAGTTATACTGACTGCGCTTCACATTTATGTAATATGAAAACATTATTAGGGTGAACGTCTAAAGAGTTAGGAAACGAAAGCCCATATTAATAGAGAGGATTTGAATTATCTCATCGTTGATAAGCTGAACTTATGAGTTATTATGTATAACTTATAGAAGTTGACCCAATGCGGCTACTTTTCACAAAATTTTATGGAAAGTAGTAGATTGTGGCCAGTAAAGACTGATCCGAATTCAGTCGAGATGATCAACAAAGGAATCATTCAAAAACTCACTAATAACTATATAAGCATTATTCCCACTCCATATGTGAGTGGCTATCTGAACCTAGTTAACTCAGTGAGTAATTAATTGGGATTTGAAAATAAAGATGCTGAGTCCGAGTTCCGGTGCGAAATTCACCACCAGGATTTGAGTACATTCAGATAAAAACTCCGATACCGAATGAAACAAGTGTCCTAGATACAAATTCTAGCTACAGATTCACATATTCCATGAAAATGGTACCTGTGGTATTAAAAACTGAACTTATATGGCACATATTCACTTGTAAGGATTCACATTTTCTCGATATTGGTGTAAAAGACCTGCAATTGATCAGAATCTATGAGTATATGTACATCCTAAGTGAATTTCTTCATTGGTATCATTGATTCACAAGTTCAGGAACACAGAGTTAAGATACAATTAGATTAAACAATAACACTATGGAATGGTGTTGAGTTAAATTTAAAGGGGCAATAAAGAGTGAGAACAATTACACTATTAATTTCAAATCATGTTATATAAATTTTTCAGCTATAGATTGCCAGACCAAAACATGGCACAAATTCATGAAGTCATTGACAAATGGACTGAGTCATGTCGGTAGTTGTCGACTACGTGGTTGGGGTCCGCGAGATGATAATAATCGATGGTTAGAGACCCTGAATGACATGGCTCAAAATGGTTTGCAATGGCGCCGGTGCATTCATTCTTTGTGTTCTCTCAAATCCTAATCTTCTGGATTCTTCAACCCCTCTAGTTTTGACTTTCTAAACTTATCTCACTGAATCATACTTCTTGAATAATATCTTCTAATCCTAACCTCTCCGATTACTTCTAATACCTTTAATACCTCTACTACTATTGGATTTGAATTGACAATTATATCTATGTGCCGATGTGGTATGGCGACATGAACTGAGGTACTTACATACGAAGTTCTACGTTGCATTTGACTGACTGACTCAGCTATAGATTACAATTGCGACCTAAGTGTACACCTATCAAACAAAACTTTGTCAATACAGTCAATTATTTTGTAAAATGATATACAGCGTCATAGTTTGAATATTAAATACCATTGAAAAATGAATGCTATTGTTAACTTTTATTTAAATTAATTGATAGATAGAAACTAAATTTATCATTTATTTAGGATTTTTCACAAATTCTACTTTTTAATTTTATTTAATAATACAATTTAAAAATATTCCAATTTTTAATTTACTAAAATAAAACTGAAAAAAAACAATATAGGAAATTAAAGCTAAAGATGAACATTATGTAAGAGAATTGAAGAAACGTACAGAAGATATTGATTTATTAGCTGAACGAATGGAATCACAAATTAAAGTTATGCAAAGAACTTATCGGGATGAAATCACTGCTATTGAAGTATGTGCGATTCTGATTGTAATTGTAATAATAATATTGATAATAGTGTTAATAATAGTAGTAATCATAATAACACTAGTGATGCGAAGCTCTCTTTTCAATGGATTTATTATCTAGCATTATATATATATATAGCTCTCGAGGTAACTTTGACCTTGAACGATATGGCTCAGAATCGTTTGCAACGGCGCAGATGCATCCACTCTTTGTGTTCTGTGAAATTCTACCCTTCTAAATTCCTCATAATCTACGCTTACAAAGCCTTTTCACTTCAGCCTCGGATTCAAGGTAGCCTCCCTGGAAGCTGGTAAAAGTCTCGTTCGCGTTTATCGACTAAGGTAAACTCGTAATAGCCTCAAGCATACTAAGTAACGTACTTATCAGTGGCGACGGTGCTTTTGGAAATATGGATCCTGCCAAACTTGAATTACTACTTAAGCAGCAGCTGATACTGATGCAAATGTTGACAGACATGAAGATTTCCCCTTCCACACAGCCCAGCTCATCTAATGCAACCACAGCTCCATCGGTCGACGGCATCGCAAATAGCATAGCTGAATTTCATTATGATCCTGATGCAAATGTCACTTTTGACATGTGGTTCCGGCATTATGAAGATTTATTTAAATTTGATTTCGCCAACCAAGATGATGCTTGGAAGGTTCGGCTGCTACTTCGAAAGTTGAGCGCAAGTGAGCTGGATAAGTACTGTAATTTGATCCTGCCTTTGAATCGACGAGATGTTCATTTTCTGAGACTGTTCAGACTTTAAGCCAACATTTTGGCGATAACTCGTCACTGTTTAATACTCGATATCGATGTTTGAAGCTAATTATGAACGAAGATGATGACTTTCTTACGCATGTGGGCATCGTCAACCGTGAATGCGAACGCTTTCGGTTGAAGTCTTTGTCGGAAGATCAGTTCAAAGCCCTCATACTCATCTGCAGCCTCCAGTCGAGTAAGTTCAGTGATATTAGAACAAGGCTACTAAGTCGTTTGGACAAAGATCCGAAGCTTACGCTTAATGAAATGGCTCATGAGTACCAACGTCTCACTAACCTACAACGAGACTCAACAATAGTGCAGAGTGGTAGTTCATGCCGATCTCGGTGCATCCACTCTTTGTGTTCTATGAAATTCTACCCTTCTAAATTCCTCATAATCTCTACCTTACTCCTTCTAGATCTATCTTACTGAATTATACTTCTCAAATCATATTTTCGCTCCCTAATCTTCTCCATTACTGCTAATACTTCTACTATCACTATCACTATTGGATTTGAACTGATAGTTGCGTCTCTATGCTGATTTGGTATGGCAACTGATGTACTTACGTTGCATCTGTCCGTCTGTCTCGAGGTAACTTTGGTAATATATGGTCTGCATAACGAGCATGTTCGTAGCTTCCCAACTTTTACGCACCAACAATCGAGTCTTCCATGCGTCGTCTTGTTTACCGAATTCTATTCTAAATGTATCTTCCCAACGTTTGAACCGCGTGAGAAAAGTATTCCCACTTTCGAGATCATAGATGAATTCTGGTATGCTGCAAGCAACTGTTTCACAAAATGTGTCTATTTACCGAAATCCTCATAAATGAAGATCTATCTATCTATCTATCTATCTATCTATCTATCTATCTATCTATCTATCTATCTATCTATCTATCCACACATCTATCTATCTATCTATCTATCTATCTATCTATCTATCTATCTATCTATCTATCTATCTATCTATCTATCTATCTATCTATCTATCTATCTATCTATCTATCTATCTATCTATCTATCTATCTATCTATCTATCTATCTATCTATCTATCTATCTATCTATCTATCTATCTATCTATCTATCTATCTATCTATCTATCTATCTATCTATCTATCTATCTATCTATCTATCTATCTATCTATCTATCTATCTATTATTATCATTATTATTATTACACTAAAATTTGAAAATTAATTTTTCCTGTTTTCTTTTGTTTTTGTTGTAAATCCATTTAAACAGAATGCGTTTTTAGATCAGAGGGAAAAATTGATTGCCGAACAAAATGAAGAATGGGAATTGCTTATGCATGAAATCAAACAGAAACAAGTAAATTGTTGTAGTTAAGAATCAATTTTTTTATTTTGTGAAAAAATAGCTGTTGATTGGTTTTGTTTTAAACAAAATATTACTGTTTTGTAATGAAAAAATGGATCATTTTTAGTTATTATATAATTTTACAAGATAAAGTAAGCTTTAATCCACACTCATATGTGTCATGATTGTTGTTCATTGATCTAACGTTGATCTATTCATGATTTCAACATAACTAACTCAACAGTCTCCACAAGTCTACATTGAAAATTATCATTCGCTCACCCGTGAGGAAGTTTCTTCAAGTTCTGGTGAGAAGTCGTGACTAGTGGAGTTGGGTGTGAAGCAGTGCTCATTGAAGACAGTTGTTAAGGTCACGCAAGACCATCAATTAATTGAAGTTAGACATTAACACCGTTGGATGCCGGCTCGGTATTCCAGAGGTTAAGAGCTCGAGTGCAAGACCAAATGTCCTGGGTTCGAATCCTGCGAGTAGCAGGAGTCGTGGACGCGCACTGCAGACGGGTTCCATACCACAGAACTTGATGGTGGCACAGCACCTCCAGGGTTCTGATGTTCATCTCACTTTTAGACTCTGGTTCATATTGGTAAAGATTGTATATCAATATTGAAATTGGATATCCCATGTCATAACAATTAAATTGTGAAGATTTCCTTGTCTTTCTGAACAACAATATCAGCATAAAATTTTATAGAATTTAACTGAAATGATTAAATATACATATAAAAGTACAACAAGAGAAAATCATTCGAAATGAATTATATTATGTATGCACTAATTTTGCTAAAAATCGAATCAATTTCACCTTAATTTAATGTTGGTAACGACTTTTTTTGAATACGTGGATAAATCGATTCACTAAAACAATATCTTGAAGATGGTTATTTTCAAGTTTTCTTACTAAATATTATATTCAAGATTTCAACAAATTATTTGATGTGATAGATTGATATCAATAAAATAATTTGACCATTTATGATTATTTCAACACTAGGATAGTTCTGATTATATGACTAACTTTTTGTAGGCTTTAAGAATATTAGACTTCATTTCAAATACGATTGATCGTGAGTAAATGTTACTTGAAGAGTTCCTAAATTAAAAATGAAACATCTATCAAATACTTCTTAATAAGTTCACCAACTGAAGTCAGTTAGTCACTCATACTTTGTTGGGGACATTAGATCCCCAGAACTCGCTTGATAAATGTCTTAATTTTGGATTTTATTCATGGGCTGATCAGTTAATCTTGAGATCACTTTTCCCACCAGGAAAATACTTGATTGTCATTGGTTGGTGTACTATTTTAGTGTGCTGTTTTCGTGACTCTCCCAAGGACTTTTCTATGATGTATAAATAAAGTCGATTTGTGTGCTTAAAAACCTCGATTTCTGGGTGGTAGAATACACTTTCTACGCCATACGAAGGCTTCTTGATATAGTTAGCCGGGCCGGGGACAACAGATTAGAATAGCCTACTGTGTCACTAGTTCATTGCCTTGTTCTTATTTATCGAACTCGTAATAGCATTCAAGCATATCAAGTGACGAGCATAACATACTTAATATAGAATATAACACGAATAATGTGTATCGCTGTTGAATCTGTCATATCATAACGACATAATGCAATTAAACTATCAAGCAAACACAAGTCACAAAAGTAATACAAGTTGTAAAATCATCAGTTTTCAATTCATATTAGTCAATGTGTCCAAAGATTGATGATGATGATAATTAGATGAGGTGGACTTTAACTAAATTAAGTCTAAACTTCTGTTGAATGTGATCAATAATCATTAAGGATTATTGCACCATTGTAGTTTAGCCACTCAATTCATTTTCTTCTATCTATTCTCACATCAAACAACATTGAATATTTTGAAGTAATCAAGTTGTTTGAAATTTACGATTTGAATAAAACTAACAAATTTATTTTTCGATTCTCATTGATTTATTCATGATAATGTATCACTGTCATTTCTTTTTGTATTTTGACACTTGCATAGATTAATTATTTAAAACAAACTGAAGAACAAGCAATTGAAAATGAGAAAGAATTTTATGATTTACGTACTAAATATTCTGAAGAGTTTAATGAATTAAAACTAACATTGGATGCTGAAGTTGAAGTAAGTTGAAATGATGATGATCATGATGATACTGAGATCATGGTAAATGATTTGTGTTGGAGACATTAGATCCCCAGAAATCTCTTGATAAATGTATTAATTTTGGATTTTATTCATGGGCTGATCGGTTGACCTTGAGATCACATTTCCCACTAGGAAAATCCTTGGCTGTGATTGGTTGCTGCGTTATTTTAGTGTGCTATTTTTGTGACTCTCCTAGGACGTTTCTCTGATGTATAAATAAACGCGATTTGTGTTCTTGAGATCATCATTGTATTTGCTGGGTGTTTGTAGAATACACTTTGTACGCCATATCAAGACTTCTTCGTTAGTTCCTTTGGGGCAACGGATCAGAGTAGCATAACGTGTCACTGGTTAATTGTCTCGTTCTCGTTTATCGACTAAGGTGAACCAGTAATAGTTTCAAGCATATCAAGTGATGAGCATAACAATTTGTTTTTGCATTTTGCCAAATAGATCGCATTAATTCACTGATTTCTATATTTGATTGAGGTGAGCAATCTTTGAAAATTAGGAATCTAGACAACTGTTCATCTCTAAAACGTAACTTATTAATAATACTCATCTACTATTTTGTCGGGAGTAGAACTCACAGTTTTAAGACCTTTTGGTGAGCGCTTAACCTTCAGGTCATCAGTTTGATACTCATTCATTAATCTATCAGAGAATGACCTTTTAATATCCGTTACTAATGTCTGTTCATGATTATCAAATTGGTTGAGAATCCCTAGCGACTGTCTAGTTAATATTACAGATAACGGAACTGTTTAATGTAATTTTGTAATTATACAGCGTTAGTTGTTAGTTTAAAAGAGATGAATTAGTTTTATCTAGGTAAGTATGATAGTAATTAATTGTATTCAAATTCTACTAAGATCTACTAAGAATCCTATCTACTAGAATCAATCAAAAACAGAATGCTTTTAAAATGTCCATTTCTAAAATCCGAGCTCAAATTTAAACTTGTAGCTGTAAAAACACAATCCTATTGGTTGATTTCGAAGGACATTTAAAAAGTCTTAAAAAGTCTTTAGTGATTGTCTGACGTTTTCTATTATCGTTCGATATTACTTGGTAATCACTGGAAATGAATTATGCTTTTAAAAGTACGAAATGTGACTGATATGAAAAGCAAGTGATAAACGATAGCTTAAAAAATGTGTAAGCTAAGTAGATATCAAGAATATACTGCCAGCCCTTCTATATTGGTGGGGTTGTCCATTTTTGAAGGACAAACAATGAATGTCACTTTTACATGGAAGCCATGAAGAGTTTGAGGAATTATGGAGGTTGTGTGCTTACGAGTAGCTGCTGCATAAAGTTATTGCACCTATAAATTCAGCACTAACTATCCAACTGTTTCCAACTTTCGATCATTTCGCTTAATGACTAGCATAGATTCTTTTAAGATGGATCCGATACAGATGTGAAGGCGCGGATCAGCAAAGCAAGGATAGCATTTCTACAATTGAACAACATCTGGAACTCAAAACAACTATCAGTCAACAACAAAGTCTAGACAGTTCTGCTATATGGAGCGGAAACTTGGAGAACTATGAAAGCCATCATTCAGAAGATACAAGTATTCATTAACAGTTTTCTACACAAAATACTTCAGATTCGTTAGCTAGACACCATCAGTAACAACCTACTATGAGAGAGAACAAACCATATTCCAGTGGAGGAGGAAATCGGGAAGAAGCGCTGGAAGTGGATAGGACACATTGCGGAAAGCACACAACTGTATCACCAGACAAGCTTTCACTTGGAGCCCTCAAGCACAAATGAAAAGAGGAAGACCAAAGAACACACTGCACCGAGCAATCGAGACAGATATGAGCAGAATGGATAGAACTGGGAAGGGAGTCCCAGGATATAGTAGGTTGGAAAATGCTGCTCTGCGGCCTATGTTCCGTGGCGGGTAACAAGCATAAGTAAGATTCTGTAGATACAGTCAACCTCGCAATCCAGACTAGTCACTTTGAGGCTAATTGAAACTAATTGCTGAGGATAGAACATGAAACAATCTAGGCAAACAAAAACTATCTTCAAGCTTCATTATTGTATCACCTTCATGTAATTGACTAGCCACTTAATTTATGAATATGATGATTTTTTTCTGTGCACACAAAGAAATCCCATGTCATTACTTCAGCATACTACTGAACTTTAGCTTTATACATAAATCTCTTGTCAATATTCCTATCACATATTTTTTCTTTTCTTTTTGTAAAAATTTAGACATTCGAAAATCAATTGCAAAAATTAAAACCTATCCATCATTTAAATATTGAAAAATTAAATTATAATTATGAAATTTTAAAACGACGCGATGAAGAGAATACCATATTGAAATCCAATCAAAAACGTAGAATAACACGTCTACAAAGTAGACTAAATAATTTACGCAGAAAATCAACTAAACAAGAACAACAATTTAGGTGAGTAGTAAGTAAGTAAGTAAGTAAGTAAGTAAGTAAGTAAGTAAGTAAGTAAGTAAGTAAGTAAGTAAGTAAGTAAGTAAGTAAGTAAGTAAGTAAGTAAGTAAGTAAGTAAGTAAGTAAGTAAGTAAGTAAGTAAGTAAGTAAGTAAGTAAGTAAGTAAGTAAGTAAGTAAGTAAGTAAGTAAGTAAGTAAGTAAGTAGGTTGAGTGAACAAAAAGTAGTGTTGAAAAACAAAACATCTTCAAGCCTGTTTGGTTTTATTCTTTTAATAAGCTACTTTCATTGTTTATCATAGAAGATGATAAACGCGTTAAAGAATTGATTGTTTTTGAGATGGTGGAGAGAAAAAATATGTAGCTCAGTTGGATGATTGTGATAGTGTTTCAGACAGTAGAAGTTTGAGCTGATGATGTTGTTGTTGTTGTTGTGCAGAAGAGGAACAATGAAAGCTCCACAATCAAAATATCCAGCTCAGAGAATTAAAAATAATTGACCAACTTGAAGCATAACTTGTACTAACTATACAATGATAAATGAAGATAGAATGTATTGTTGTTTGTTGAAAGATTATTTCATTACTGGCATGGGACTCATCAGCAGTGTGCGTCCCATACCAGGATGAGACGACCTCCCAGTGGTTCAAGGTTTCTAATGATGGTCTAACATTGATTGATTCATGATTCTAAATGCGAAAGATTATTTTTAATTGAAATAATTAAAGACTGAATTTTAAACTAATCTGTTATCGCTTTGTATGAGAGTCACTCACTTATTGTGTTATATTACTAATTCAATACTTGATGTTACCGCTTTTTTAGGCTCATCAGAAGTGCGCATCCACGACTCCTGCACCTCGCAGGTTTCGAACCTGGGACCTTCGGTCGAGGATGCGCACTGCTGATGAGTCCCATAACAGGACGAAGCGGCCGTCCAGTACTTCCAGGTTTTTAATGGTGGTCTAACAACCATTGATTGATGATTTCAAGTGTGTAAAAACACTAATATCCATAACTTTAATTGAAAAAAACATATATAAATATATATATCTTTGCTGTTAAATTACATATAAAATTGTTTAACCTAATCATTCAGATAAAATGTATGAGATATTTCGTAAATTTATTTAACTAATAAAATCTACTACAAAGATAAAATTATTCTCAGTAGAGTGAATACTCACATCTGCCTAACACAGAGAGAACTTAGTAGATTGTCACATAGGGGTCCGCGAGATGAAAGTCACCGATGGTTAGAGACCTTGAACGACATGGCTCAAAATCGTTTGCAGTGGCGCATGTGCATTCATTCATTGTGTTCTCTCAAATTCTAACCTCCTGATTTCCTCATCATCTCTATCTTTTTCCTTCTGAATTTATCTCACTGAATTATACTTCTTGAATCATATCTTCGAACCTTAATCTTCTTTTTTACTGCTAATACTTCTGCTATCTCTACCGCTCTTGGATTTGAACTTACAGTTGTATCTCTGTGCTAATGCTAATGAACTGATGTACTCGTGTACGATGTTCTACGTTGTAATTGACTGACTGACATTCTCACATAAACCGATTAAAATGAGATCAGATCAGATCAGCAATAAATTCGATTATTTTTCTTTATTCTACTGTTTTAGTGCAGAAAATGAACAAATATCGAAAGATTATAAAGGAAGAATGGAAAATTATAGTGATATACAAAAGAAGTTCAAGTATGTTTGAGTGTGTGTATGGTGTGTGTAGTGTAATTTTATGCTCTTTCTTTATGTAATAAGTTAGATTTGCGTTACAAAACTGATTAGAATTAACAAGAATACGAATAAGAATTAGGAGAAATTGATTGAAAATTACCTAGTAGGTTAACATTTACAACTGTATAGTGTATTTGTGGAATATGTCGTGTTAAATGTAAATGACTTACGTAGATCGCCAATCAATAATCACAGATTTTTTCAAGGCATGAATAGCATATGATAGAACATGTGTGTAGTTAAAGGAAGAGTAGTAAGTAAAGATGATTGGCCGGTCGATAAGGATCTAAGCCTTTAATGCTTGAGACTGTTGAGAGATGTGTAACACACTCATTGTCCCTCACTGCCTTTTTCGATAAATATTGACGACTAACGTGGAAGCAAGTTTTAAAAAGTGTAAGTACTATTAGATCAAAACATGAGAGTATATTCATCAAGTCACTGATTGCTAGATTCAATCGTGTAGGATAATGGGAAATTTGTACTCAAAGCCTATTGGATAGCATAGTAATCTATGCTTAGTGAATTTGGGACTGTAGAATTCCACTTTAGCTTCTTTGTATCATTAATTGAATTTCTGAACTTTTCTTAACATTTCCATTGTTAATAAAATTATCCTGATTTTGAAAGAGATGTATTGTTATCTTATCTAAACTAGCTATGACCATTCAGTTATAAGGTATGTTGTCGTCTAACCTGTCTAATCATTGATAATCGTTACTGTGAGAGTCCAAAGTAGTACTTCCATCTGTACTTAAGAATTGAATTTACCCCTTAATTCAGCACTAATCACTCAGTTGTTTCATTATAGTTAATTAATTCTGTGAAGACTTCTATGATAAAATACTTTTGTAATCAGTATATTTACTCTTCATTTGCAAACATCATGTATTAAACAGAATGAGTCATTAAACATCTCTCTTTCTCTCTCTCGTTGAAAAGAAGATATGTATCACACCACAAATGGTATGAGTTAGAAAAAAGCCTAAGCAAGAGATTCGATATAAACACTATATTTATGTTTAACCGATCACCATACATGTTGTATATAGTTAGTACTATACACTTCAAGAGTATAGAGCGGATTTTTGAAGATTCTTGAACTTTAATAGTTTAAACTACTAACTGATTTTAGCTAGACAATCATTGAATGCCTAGAAACTAGTATGTAACTCTTCAGCTGTGCGCATACGCAACCCCACCACAGAGAACCGATCCCAGGATCTAAGATTTAGGCGTGAAACCCCAACCCCTAGATCAGTGTGACAGAATCTAATAATATACATACGGTGTACACATGTGAAATCGAAGGTTTTGTGTTGATTCCTTGATGCAAAGTACTGTATACTCACTACTGAGAAGTGCCACACTAGGATGAAACAGCCTTCTAGTGCTTTGAGGTTCTCAATGCCGATCTAGCTAAGATCAATTCATGATATAAATTGTAAAGATACATAATTTGATTTCTGATCAAGGTTAGATGACATGATCACCTGACATTGTTAATTTTTAATGATTTATTCAACTTTATTGTTTTTAAGATCGATGATAGGGAGTGTACAGAAAAGTTTTCATGATATATGGATAATGAATGAACAGAATTTGAAGAAATTATCTCATCGTCTGCTGGAAGCACATCGAGTCATTACTGAACAACAACTTGGCTTAACATGGAATCCACCAGATGTGTAAGGCTTTTTTTTGAAAACTTCTTTTATTTATCAATTTTAATGAATGCTTTGATTGATTCATAATTTAATATTGAAAATGGCAATGTTTGTTCTTTTTTGTTTAAATTCACCAAGTAAATAAACCTGTTCATTTTGTTAAAAATGTTATGAAGGAAGGTTTTATTTTGTTATTTGCGACAATAATTGAATTGACTTTATGTAGAGTTCGTCACTAGGTACGCTTGAAGCTATTACGAGTTCACCTTAGTCGATAAACGCGAACGAGACAATTACCAGCGTCCAGATAGGCTACCTTGAATCCCAAGCTGAAGATAAAAGGCTTTGTAAGCGTAGAAAGTATATTCTACAAACACCCAGCAATCACAGTACAATCAAGCATACAACTCTCGTTTATTTATATATCATAGAAACGTCCTTGGGACAGCACACTATAATACACAGCAGCCAATCACAGTCATGGATTTTCCTGATGAGAAATAAAATCTCAATGTCAACTGATCAGCCCATGCTGGCAGACGTGAAGTCCAAAATAAGGCATTTAACAAGCGAGTTTTGGGGATCTAACATACCCAACACTTTAATCTTTTATAAAGCTACGAGGAAAAAAATATGTGAACCATTGAACCTAGTCTTTGCTGTCTTAATGCAACATGAAGATAATACAGTGAGGCGTTTAAATAGATGTAGGGAGATGGAGAATTATATCACCAACTCTTATCTCACGGTTTTTAATGTTTGATTCTGATCACTTTTAGGATTATTGCACAACCTCATCCATTGTCTTGGGTAGTTATTGCCTACACCGGACAGAGGTTAAGCGTTCGCGCGCAAGATCGAATGTCCTAGATCGGAATCCTGTGAGTAGCCTTATTGGTGGATGTGCACTCCTAATGAGTAGCATACTTCTAGGTTTCTAGTGGTGGTCTAACAGTAATTCACTGATGATTTCAACATTATATATATGTATGATTATCCAGCTACATCCGTTTTCAAACCTCTAGTTTTGAGGTTCGATTAAATTTGAACACTAAAAACCGCTTCATAAGTAGAAAAGGCATTGAATACAACTGAATGATAATTAAAATAGAAGCTGTTATATTAGAATCCTTAGAGAAATATCAGTCAGACAGATGCAACGTAGAACTTCGTACGTATGTACATCAGTTCATGTTGCCATAGCACATTAGCACAGAGATGTAATTGTCAATTCAAATCCAATAGTAGTAGAGGTAGTTAAGGTATTAGAAGTAATCGGAGAGATTAGGGTTAGAAGATATTATTCAAGAAGTATGATTCAGTGAGAAAAGTTTAGAAAGTCAAAACTAGAGGTGTTGAAGAATCCAGAAGATTAGTATTTGAGAGAACACAAAGAATAAATGCACCTGCGCCATTGCAAACGATTTTGAGCCATGTCATTCATGGTCTCTAACCATCGTTTATTATCATCTCGCGGACCCCAACCAGGTAGTTGACAACTACCGACATGGCTGAGTCCACTTGTCAATGACTTCGTAGATTTCTGCCATGTTTTGGTTTGGCTGCCCCTAGCTTTCTTCCAACCTCTTCCTTCACTACAAAACAAAGCTCGTCGAGGCAGTCGGTGGTTAGTCATACGCAGCACATGTCCCAACCACCTCAACTGATGAAGTTTCATTACTTCATCTATTGATCTGTCATCCCTACCTAGCGCCCGTTTTCTAATAACAGCATTGCTCACTCGGGTATCCCAGGTTATACGAGAACTGCTTCGGAGACACCTATGATCGAAAACCAATAACCTACGAATATCTTCTACTCTTAACGGCCATGTTTCACAGTCATAAAGTAAGACGGAGCGAACCACTGCACAGTACACTCGTCCTTTAGTCAGAAAACGGATATCTCGCCTACGCCATAAGTGACGCAAGTTAGCGAAAGCTAATCCAGCTTTCTGTATCTGAGCTGAGATTTCGTCAGTCACCAGGCCGTCAGCACTGATGAGACACCCCAGATAAGTGAGGTACTCTACACATTCAACTACCTCATTCCCTACCACTAGTTCAGGTGTCGATACAGCCCAATCTTGAAGCAACATTTTGCATTTCGAGGGGGAAAACCGCATCCCGAACATGTTTGCATTGTTGCTTAGAGTGGTCAGAAGACTCTGAATTTTGTCAGCCTCTTCACCAAGTAAGACTGTCATCGGCATATTCTAGGTCGATAAGCGAGCCTCCTGGTAATAGGTCTACTCCTGAAAATTCCTTTTTTGTTTGCACTTCAAAATGATGATGAAGATGAATCATTAATTCTAAAATAAAATTCAACTATTCTTGATTACTAGATTTTAAGTATAATAACGGTGAAAATGTCGTTTGTTCAAAAAAATTATTTTACATAATTTGACGGTCACAAGATCTATTATACTTTGTTTAAATAATTTGGATTCAATCCTTAGTAATGCCGTTAGTGAGCACTATTCAAAAGTTATTATATACAATGATGTTTTCTCTTTTTTTTCAAATCGTAATGTTAAAGTTCAGTCAATTCACGTGATTTGAACTTCCTTCAAACTGAATATTCCTCATAAATGTTTCATTTCAGTCGAAATAATATAACACTTTCTATGTTATCTGTTCACCGAAATCTCCGTAAGTGAAGATATCATAGTTTTACGTAAAAATAACTTCAAACATTGGGATACATGTATGAACAGTTACTAATGTGCACAGTCAGGTGATCTGTTTATCAGTCTATCCACATATCTGTCTATCTATTTATCTATCGATATATATTTTTTTTCACTTAGAGTTATGGAGATTAGTGCTTTTACACATTTGAAATCATCAATCAATCATTGTTAGACCACCATTAGAAACATGGAAGCACTGAAAGACGGCCGTTTCGTCCTGGTATGGGACTCATCAGCAGTGCGCATCCATGACTCCTGCACCTCGTAGGATTCGAACCCAGGACCTTCGGTATTGTGCGCGAACGCCTAACCTCTGGACCACTGGGCTGGCATCCAACAGTGTTAGTGTCTAACTCTGATTAATCTAGGGATTTTGCACGACCTCACCCATTTGTCTTTGCTAGTTACTGCCTACACCCAACAGGGTTGAACTCCATTGATCACGTCTTCTCACTAGAACTGCGAGAATTTCCTCACGAAGCTAGTCACTAGTGAGCACATTTTACGATACTTTCAATTAGAATTATGAAGATTAGTGTTTTTACACATTTGAAATCATATATATTTCTTGTGTATTTATATTCTAGATCATTCATGGAAAATGTGGGTCCATTAAAACAAGCCACCAGTAAACCTCCAGCTGTAATTGCAATGGAATTAGCTTTACAACCTGATCAGAAGTAAATTTGAACATTTATTCTATTATTATTATTATTATTATTATTATCCATTGGGGACTTGTATTTTAATGAAGTGAAAAAAATTAACTCGACTGATTATTGATTTTCACATAGGTTATAATAACAGCAATAAGAGTTAGTTTAGAACATCCTTAACCTTGTTTGTTTAAATCTTACTAAAAAGATAATATATAATCAGTCACTCATTTTTTATATTTGGAATAGTTCAGTTTAAATCATTTAGGAACTTTAGTATTTGCTGAAGTTTCACAGTTTTATTCTTCTTGACGAAGATAAAGTATCGATTTATAGATTGCTTATCGGAAACTCATTCATGGTTCTTTTATGAAATACTTATCATTAACAGTTTACTAGTTAGTCATATTTAACATAGAACCTGTCACATTAATACACTGTTTAAAGTTCCCACACCACACTGTCATATTGGGGTGCTTGAATTGTAGGAGTAGTAACAGTTATCAGTGGTTATAAGAAGTATTGAAAATAAACAGTATAATTTGAAGAGAAAAATCTGAAAACGCAAAGTAGAAAAGTATGAGATAATTTTGAAACGGGAGGTTTACCAGAACACTAAATGTTTTAGAATCTAACATTGGAAAAACATTTGATCGCTGCATTCACATCCAGAAGTTAAATCAATCTACTTTTCTCTGGTTCACTGCTGACGATCTCTAGTTAAAGCATTGAATGACTAGTAAGCTTAATATTTTAGACACTGTATTATTTACCAAACTAATTCATCGGTTCTTTTAGGAAAAAAAGGATTTTTTCCGCCTTTCTTATAAATTTGGACAGTCAACTATCGAAACTAGGCGAATAAGAAAGAGTATGTGTTGTAGTTCCTCTAAATTCCAACTAATAAGTTAGTGTTAAATGGAAGCATTTTTTAAATTTGCAATAGACTAAACGAAATCAAATTAAAACAATATACTTAATTACCAATTGTAATTACATTTCAAAAGTCAATGTTATAAGAATTACGAGATAATCGCTACAATTAGCTATGCGAAAATTTCTAATTGATTTGTATTGTAAAGCTTCAAATGACAGAAATGATATAATTTCAAAAGTGTTTGTTTTAAATGACAATAATAATCATAATATTACTTGCACAATTACGTTTAAAAAAAGGGTAAACGTTAAGTTTAAATCAAACAATCAAACTGTAAAAATTATTCGAAGAATTAACTTTCATCCCCGACAAATTGTAATAAACCTGAATGAATGACAAAGCATTTGAATATAATCTGGAATGTTTCAACTCTCTCTATATATTGCTGAAATGTGAATCAATCAATATTAGACTACCATTAGAAACCTAGAAGCACAGGATGGCCGTCAAGTCCTGGTATACGACTCCTGCGTCTTGCAGTATTCGAATCCAGGACCTTCGGTCCACTGTGCGAATGCTTAACCTGTGTCGGGTGTAGGCAGTAACTACCGAAGACAATGAGTGAATTTGTGGGACAGTCCTTGAATTGATCAGAGTTAGACATTACCGCTATTAGATGCCGGCTCAGTGGTCCAGAGGTTAGGCGTTTACGTGCAAGACTTCGAAGGTACTGGGCTCTTTTATTGCGAGTGGCGATAGTAGTGGATTCACGCTGCATATGAGTGGCATACCAGGGTTTAATGGCCATCCAGTGATTCCAGGTTTCTAATGGCTATCTAACAATGATCGATTCATGATTTTTAACATATTAAATCATATTAAGTATGTTCAACAAGTAATTAGTGTTTTAGATATAATCTGTAAGCACAATTTCACATTTACTTTGTTATTTCAAAACAAATACGTTCATAAATTTTAAGGATCTTAAACGATAATTTTCACTCAGCCATTAATTACATACATACTTTTCAGAACTAAGTTTTGAATTTCGCCCAATCATCTCAAATTGTATTGGTACGTTAATTTAATACAGTTTTAACTTTTACAGTTGTTCTAGACAACAATAATAGAAGTGAGCTTTTGAAATTATTCTATCCTGTTCAACATTGTCCCAAAGGGGTTCAGCCCATAAATATTTCATACTCATTATTTCCTTAGATATTTAGCTAATGTACGTATTTGCCTTACAAGTATAACACACTGTCTCGATCATTTAAATATAACGAAATAAATGATACACAGACAATTAATTGTCTGCTTTCAACTAAGATATATATTTTGGGGCACAGTTTTGGAGGTCTGCGTTTTTACACATTTGAAATCATCAATCAATCATGGTTAGACCACCATTAGAAACCTGGAAACACTGGACGGCCGTTTCGTCCTAGTATGGGACTCGTCAGCAGTGCGCATCCACGACTCCTGCTCCTCGCAGGATAGGTGAGGTCGCGCAAAATCCCTAGATCAATCAGGGTTAGACATTAACACCGTTGGATGCCACCAGCCCAGTGGTCCGATGGTAAGGCGTTCGCCTACAATGCCAAAGGTCCCGGGTTGGAATCCTGCGAGGAGCAGGAGTCGTGGATGCGCACTGCTGAGGAGTCCCATACTAGGACGAAACGGCCGTTCAGTGCTTCCAGGTTTCTAATGGTGGTCTGTAAATGATTGATTGATGATTTCAAGCATGTAAGATATATGTATATATATTTTAAAACTTTCATAGAGATTGAATGTTCAATTATCGAAATATGTTAAACAATATAAACAATATATTATTTCATTGACTTTCAAATTTTTCTTTTCTAGACCAATTTTAAATTCACAGAATGAAATCTTAGAGAATAATAATACAACAATACCTACGAGATTGAGAGATGTTGCGCCAAAAACTGTACTAGAATTTTTACACTTACTATGTTATGAGCCTGTAAGTGTTCGTCATGATTTAGTATCATGCCTAGAATAAAAATTTGAATTTATATGTTGGTAATGTAAAAGGACTTGTAGAAATTGTATTGTATTTTGAAGTTCACATCACAGACTGATTCTGATTAAAACAATCACTGGAAACCAGGAAGCACTGAATTACTGTTTCATCACTAGTATGGGACTCCCCAATGGGCGTATGCATTATGTATATATATATATATATATATATATATATATATATGAATATATTGTTGTACAGATTAATAGTAAATTTATTGAAAAGAGACCTCTTTGGTGAATTGCATATTTTTCTTTCAATGTTCAAACTGGAAATGTAGATCAGTAAATTGTTCAATCAAACATTGATTAATATGTAGATATTTTTAGTTTCAGCTTAGTAGAAGCTGAAAGTTCAATGTAAATGAGAGACCTCTGAAATGGGGCTCCTTGTAAATGTGCTGTCATAACTTCAGATAATATCGCAGTATTGAGTTATAACAAATACATTCATATTATATTCACATTTGGTTGCGTGGTGAAGTCTATATCGTTAATCACCATGGCATATTTGTCAAACTCCTGACTTATTTTACTCTACAATAAATAAACTTTCAATAACTTGTTGAGAAGGTTTCATCAAACTATGTCAACCAATTTATGTCATATGACGATTAAGATGCATAATAAAACATGATTCTAGACGGTATTAAGGTTATCAAACTTTGAAATCATGATTTGATCAATGTTAGGCCATGATTAAAAACGTGGACGGCCATCTCGCCGCGGTGTAGGACTCATCAGCGGTGCGCATCCACGATTTCCGCTCGCAGGAATCAAATTCAGGGGTTTCGGTCTTGTGCACGAACAATTAATCTCTAGATCACTGAGCTCACTGACAAATAGATCGACTGTATTCTTTTGAATGTCGTAAATACGAATCTCAGAATTAGCATATATCTTTCAGCTACGAGTTTATATTGAATATGTCTAGGAAACGTTTCCGTAAATTTGTAACTCCATCTTCATTTCAATGTCCAATATGCATACGATATCATTCAGTGAGTGAATTCGAGACAGAGGAGCATAATTTTCATCAGGGATTTCATTTAAACCACTAAATTTTCACCTGATTCTCTTTTTTCCTCCTTCGACAATCTGAAATGCACTATAGTGATGGCTTCACAGAAACATATATATGGATTACTTTAGATGATTAAAATGAAGTTCTAGAGTAAAAGTTACACTGTCAAATGCAGCACACTACATGAATAGGAAGAAAAAGTACTTGAAAAATGCTAAATAACCTACTTTTATTGAACATTGAACAAAGATAATTACCCTCATACTGTGGTGCGAGCTACTTATAAGTAGTATGTGACGTGAGTGTCAACGTAATGTATGGCAGCATAATATGGGGGGAAGATCAAGAAAGGAAGAGTCAGAACCCAATGGGGTTTGTATGAAACGTATGAATAGTGACAATGGATTTATGTTTTGCAACAGGAATAGTCCAGTTCGATATGATGGAGTGATATTTTGCAAATGAACGATTTACGATATGGTTTTCCGATTTTACTGAATAACTCTGTAATTTTCGTTAGATACGATTCGGTTGCCCTTGCCTGTGTTCTCGTTCACTACAATACTATTGAATACTTATTTGTAATTAAGAAAAGAAGAAACTTAAGCATATATTACCCTTTTATTATTATTATTATTGTTATTATTATTATTATTATTATTATTTGGGATTAAATAACACTGACAATTATTGTTTGCTTTCTTTAAAATAAAATCCCGATTACAGGAATTTTTAATTGATAAAGATATGAAATCTATATTGGAATCGTTAGGATATGAAGAACAATTACTTTTACGTTTAGATACAATATTAAATGTAAGTAGTGTTATTATTTTTCTTTTTTTGACAAGAAATTAAATGGTATACATCATTTTTTATATTTACGAGCGTCAATCAATAACTAAAAACGTTTTTTCATACGACACTTGATTCTTTGATAAGTTTCAATCCAGTGAGAAGACCATTATTTTTATAATAAAATGAAGTTGGAAGGACTTCGTAGACGCCCAACTTCGAGATCAACAGGTTGGATTTCGTCAGGATCGATCGTGTACTGACCAAATAGCTACATTACGGATCATTGTGGAACAATCAATTGAATGGAATTCACCACTCTACATCAACTTCATCGACTACGAGAAAGCATTCGATAGCGTGGATAGGAAAACACTATGGAGGCTTCTCCTATACTACAGATTGCCAGAGAAGATAGTCAAAATCATACGGAATTCTTATGATGGATTCAACTGTAAAATCGTGCACGGAGGACAGCTAACAGACTGTTTCGAGGTGAAGACCGGTGTGAGGCAAGGTTGCTTACTCTCACCCTTTCTCTTTCTCCTAGTGATCGACTGGATTATGAAGATGTCAACATCTGGAGGGAAGCACGGTATTCAGTGGACAGCTAGGATGCAGATGGATGATCTGGACTTCGCAGATGACCTGGCTCTTCTATCTCACACGCAACAACTGCAAGAGAAAACGACCAGTATAGCAGCAACCTCTGCAGCAGCAGGTCTCAACATACATTGAGGGAAAAGCAAGATTCTCCTATGCAACACAACATGCACCAACCAAATCACTCTTGATAGAGATGCATTGGAGGACGTTAACACCTTTACATATCTGGGTAGCATCATCGGCGAGAAAGGTGGATCGGATGCAGATATGAGGGCGCGGGTCGGCAAAGCAAGGGCTGTATTTAAACAACTGAAAAATATTTGGAGCTCCAAACAAATATCAATCAACATCAAAATCAGTATTTTCAATACAAATGTCAAGACAGTTCCAATGTATGGAGCGGAAACTTGGAGAACTATCAAAGCCATCATCCAGAAGATACAAGTATTCATTAACAGTTGTCTTCGTAAAATACTTCGGATTCGTTGACCAGACACCATCAGCAACAACGTACTGTGGGAGAGAACAAACCAGATTCCAGCGAAGGAAGAAATTAGGAAGAAACACTGGAGATGGACAGGAAAAAAGAATTGCAGAATGCACCCAACTGTACCACCAGAAAGCTCTCATTTGGAACTCTCAAGTTCAAAGGAAAAGAGGGACGTCGAGGAGCACATTACGCCGAGAAATATAGAAAGATGTGAGAGGAATGAACAAAAATTGGACAGAACTGGAAAGGGAAGCCCAGGAGAGAGTTGGCTGGAGACCTATTAGGGGTAACAGGCGTAAGTAAGTAAGTACATCAACTGCAAACAGCTTAAATTTACATTGGTTGTATATAAAACAATTAATCCCCCACTGGATTAATTTGAATAGTGTAATGAGACGACTGAAATATTAGCGCAATAACTTTTCGAATAATTTGATCCGATATATTCATTTTTTTGCTTAAACTTTACACACTGTTTTCTTTACATAAATAGATACTCTTCACAAGTATTAGATGTGTGATCAGACTATTTCGAAATGTATTTCACAAAGTTCTGATAATCTTTGTCTTCTCACTACTAAAATTCAAATTAGTAACATTCCAATTTTAAAAATATTTTATCGCATACTTAAATCACTAAAGCTTACTTCGATTCAACATAAGAGATAAGACAAAGAAACAATTTGTTTAACACATAAGAGCGAAGATTGATTAGTGTTCATTTCTTAAAGATGAAATCATTAAAAGTAGGACGGGGGTGGGAGTGTTAGTTAAGTTGTAAACGATTATAGGAAAATACGATGACTGAAAGGAGATTGTTATAACAAATGAGTGATAATCAACAGTCAACTATTTAACATAACACTACAGTTATCGTTTTCAGTGAGCATCAGTAGGATTTTTTAAGTTATTAACCATAATTCAGAGATCATATAAATGATAAGCGTTAAAAAAATACTAGTACTACAACTATCTTATTATGTCAATGATAAGTTTTTACACGTTGATATCACCAATCAGTCGTTAGACTACCATTAAAAACCTAGAAGCACAGGACGACCGTCAAGTCCTGGTATGGGACTCATCAGTAGTGCGCATCCATGAGACCTGCCACTCGCAGGATTCGAGCCCAGAACCTCCGGTTTTGTGCGTGAGCGCCTAACCTCTGGACTACTGATAGTTACTGCATACACAAGATGGGGTTGAACTCAACTTGTTCGTGCACAATACATAAGGTCCCAGGTTCGAATCCTGTAAGTAGAAGGAGGCGTGTGTACAGACTGCTGATGAGTACCATACCAGGTCTTGACGACCGTGCAGTGCTTCCAGGTTTCTAATGGTGATCTGACAATGATTGGTTGATGATTTCTCAGTGTGAAAACACTAGTTTCCATAACTTTTATTGAAAAAAATAATAAGTTCACCGAGCTTGCTCACAGTTAACAAAAGGCAGGTGAATTGTGCCAAGTGTAAAACCTTGAATTCAGCTTTTGGCTACTTGATATCGCCGCAAGAACTGAATTTGAAACAGAAAAGAAGGGAGAGTTGCGCAAAGTATTTAAGGCGACTAAAGCTAGTGGTATACGAAAATTTTTCTCATTATAAGTTCAAGCATGATGTTAGTAATGAGTATCATGTTTTATCCTGATAAACTTATAGTTTATTGTGCGAAATTCTCACTCTTTTGTCAAGAAAAAAACAATTCGGAATGTATACTGCAGTTATGTGACATAATCCCTAGTGGGGCATAGACCGCCGACCGACATTCTCCAACCTCCTCTGTCCCAGGCCTTCTTTTCTAGTTCTGTTCACCTGTTGTCCACTCTTCTCATTCCTGTCTCCGTTCACCGGAGTAAGGTCCATTTTGGTCTTCCTCTTTTCTTTTGTCCTTGAGGGTTCCAAGTGAGGGTTTGTCTTGTGATGCAGTTGGATGCTTTCCATAATATGTGTCCTATCCACTTCCAGAACTTGTTTCTGATTTCCTCCTCCACTGGAATCTGGTTTGTTCTCTCACTTTAGGTTGTTGCTGATGGTAGCTGGCCAACGGATCCGAAGTATTTTGTGTAGACAACTGTTATTAAACATTTGTATCTTCCGGATAATGGCTTTTATAGTTATCCTAGTTTCTGCTCCATACAGTAGAACTGCCTTGAGATTTGTATTGACAATTCTGACTTTGTTGTAGGTTGATTGTTGTTTTGAGTTTCAGATATTCTTCAGTTGTAGAAATACTGTCCTTGCTTTATCGATCCTGAAGGGTTTTTTAGTCCACTGTCTGCATTTCATCATTGAATCACAAAACATTCTTCAAAGTAATTTAATCACAGAGTAACCTGTTTATTTCTTTATTCATTTAATTGCCAGTCCAAAGTTTTATATTTTCTCTTAAAATAAAATAATTTATATTACTTTGTTAAAAGGAAATGAACATTGCAATTTTTCTGTTCACTGATTGGTTTTACTGATAATAAATTCAGCAAATATGATTCAATTTTCTAATAAAACGAAACTAAGAATCATTTTTTCTTAAAACTATCTACCACGATTAGAATAAACATTAAACTATGTATATCTTTCAACTACATTATTTTCATATCTTACCTGAGTTGGCCTCATCAAAGTGCATTTAAAAATTCAGCTGCTACTTAAGAAATAGCTGTATCGAGCGTACTACCAGGCAACTTAACGAATGAGTGAACATCTCCCAGCATACTTTAAAAAGGGTCGAGATAAAAAAAACAATGAGCAGTTCAGTGTTGGCACATCTGACTGATAGCAGTAATAGTATAATCATTTCAACTAGTTTATCGTATACCTCCATCATTTCCTAACACAGTTCGACCTCGTCTCCTATTTTAAGTAGAAGCCATAGGAATTTGAATATCTCACAGATGTCAATGTTATCTTGAATACTCTTGTTACCATTTGAGAACATAAACATCATTGGTTTTTTCAATGTGTTGGATGAATCTGGTTTCGCACGACACATGGCATACAAACACAAGTGATATTTTTCAAATAGATTATCCCACACTTATAATCTTGAGTGATAACTCTTCAGAAGACATCATAAATACACTTAATCTATCTGTAGTGAACTTTTAAAAATGCGATTTACTTGCTTCATCGCATTTTACAACTTTGAATCATTTATGTGTTGTTGTTGTTGTTGTTATATATCGTTTTTCTCTCTTTAGGCTTTAGGTGTACAAAATGAAGAAGATTTAAATTTGTTATTTACATATTTTATTCAACAATCAAAAGATGATGAATCTCAACTACAACGTCTACCTTTAAAAAGTGAGCATTCTATTCTGTTTTTGTTTTTTTCTATTGAACAGTAGGAATTTTTCCGTTTGAATTTTCGCGTAATTCAATTTTAATTGAACATATTTGTTTTACAGATTTAGATCGTTTTTTTTTGAACAAAAAATAGAACAATGTAGTTTGATATACATAGATATACTCTATTTATCAAATCAGGGTATGTGAACATTAAACGTAAATAGTTACATAAATAAATCTAATCAAATAACTTAATACAAGTAAGTATATATGATAAATATTTATCATCCTCTATTGTAAAATACACGTAAACGGATACAGGTTATAATGTAGTGAAGGAGAACACAGGTGAGGGCAACCTAATTGTATTTATCGCAAACTACAGAGTTAATCAGTAAAATAGGAAAACCATATCGTAAACGGTTAATTTGCAAATCTTCAATCCATCATCAATCCATTGTCTGACATTTCACTGCTCATGCGTTTCATACAAATCCCATTTTTGCGTTCCCACTCTTCTTCCTTTCTTAATCTTCCCTCATCTTCTGCTGCTGCCAGACATTACGTTTTCACTCGCGTCATAAGTAGCGCGCACCACAAGCCTACTTTGTTTTATTATCCAGAGTGGTGAGTTTTATTGATTTTTTTCTCCCCTTATTCTTACTTCCTTGTCAAGTTTACATATATTCATCAGACTGAATAGATTAACATAGTAAGATGAATAGAGAGCTGAAGAGAAGTGAAAGGAATGCATGATTTTTCATTATGGAATTATAGATACTGTTGTTTTACATTGAAATTATGAATTAGTCATTGTTAGACCACCATAAGAAACCTGAAAGCACTGGACTGCTGTCAAGTTCTGGTATGGGACTGATCAACAGTGCGCCTACACAACTGCCACTTGCAGGATTCGAAGCAAGGACCTTCTCAGTTAAGCATGCGAACGCCTAATCTCTGGACCACTAATACTTGGTCTAACAATGATTTCTTCATGATTTCAATGTAGAATTTATCATTATCGACTATTCAAGAACTAAAAAACCATAAAACGTATCAGGATAGTTCAAGGTTTTTCAGCTGTATTCTTTGGCATAGACATTTTTGATTTCAACCTTTTTTATTAGTGATGTGGTCTTGGCGAAACGCAGTAAAGTTGGAGCTTTTGGAAGACTGATTATTTCGAACAATTTTAAAATATTTGAATTTTATTAATTATCAACGAGATAACAGATAATGGCATTGTTGAAAACAAAATTTGTCTTTTAATCTCGATTTTTTGTGAAATCTGCTCCGATATGCTCCGGCATCTTTATTCTTACTTTATTCTGAAATCATGAATCGATCATTGCCAGACTATCATTAGAAAGAAACCCGAAAGCACTGGATAGCCGTTTCGTTCAATTAAAGGACTCATCAGCGGTTCTTACTTTATTCACATTTATCAATAGGAAATTTATAATGAAGGATTTTTATGATCTATTTACGGTGACGAAATCAATAGATTAGGGGATAACTATCCTCCTTTTCATTGGTTCATTCGGTATTGTGTTCAAACTTCAATATGAACATCAGTATTCAGATGAAATCACACTTGATCATCAAACAATGAGTTATTGAAATTCCCTACTAGAACATTGTATTATCAACAACTTCTATCGATGCGCTCAAAGCGATATTAGTAGATCGTCTCACAGCCACTATTTGCGATGATAAACATGATTTATGATTTGAACTCTTGTTCTTACCCCCTTGATAGGTCTGCTATTGAAAAGTCTATGACTGACTTTGTAACCTCTTCTTATGAATCCGATGATACTTGTACATATCAACTCAAATGATAGCGAAAAGGCATGAAATGCCAGTAAGAGCTTCGTTCAGAGATCATATTATGTACAGAAAACTAAATATTTTCATAGTTTCATGTGATTGTAGTCTCCCCCGACCGTAGCTGCTACCTTGACGTGGTGGTCGGGCTTGCCTATCGTGATGACCCAACCGAGCTATACTGGCTGGAACATATGTTCCTGCAGGTCCTACCATGCCAGACAGGTCGATTGGAGAACGATGAGACTAAAAGCAGCTACCCAAGGTCTGAGGGCGAAGTCGTACTGCTGACTGCAGAGGGGTGTGACAGCAGTAAGGTGTTTCCTTCGGACAACCAGCATCTGCAGCGATGCTGCCTTCTCACAAGGAAGGAAGGGTTAGAAAAGGTCGGCCCTAAAAATGTCACACCTCCCCTAACTCACGGATTTCCGTCTCCTTGGGTAAGGGTGCCCACTAAGGGCCTTTAAGAACGGAGCTAATCCTCAAAAAACATTTCATAAAAAGGCCGTGCGTGACCGGCCTCAAGCAGTTGTCCCTTGGGCTCTGCGGTCACGCACCAACACTAATCTATCTTCCTTTTCAGGTGCCTCAAGAAACAACCTTCCACGGTGTGGGCAGCCGGGAAGTGACAACCGCCCTCATACCCATAACTGCACATAAGACCAAATTGGTCAAAATCAAATCCTTCCTACACCCCCTAATGTCTCTTTTATCTCCACGACTAACTCTTCTCACATTCATTCATCACAGTGCACAGCTTCGCGAAACGTCGTTCCTGGTCTCCTTAAACCTCGCTCTAGACTACATGTTGGAGCATTTAATGTACGGACATTGTGTCAAGTAGGGCAACAGGCTTCCTTAGCTAGGACTTTAGAATCTCGTGCCATCGATGTATGCTGCGTCTCGGAAACGCGCATACAGGATCCGAGTCGCGTCATACACTTGGCCACACCATGTCAAAATAAAGAAGCAGCTCGATTTACTCTTCGATTGTAGTCTCCTAGCAATTGATGAGTTTAAATATTGACGAAACATATTCCCTTGATTTTATTGTTTATCTTTATAAAATTAATTACTTGTCTTTCATTTAAAATAAATGTTTGAATTTCTTTTAGTTCAATTAGTTTTAAGTGTTTACTGGCTTAAAGTACAAGATGTTTAGTAGTTTTGTAGATATTAGGGTTCTATTACAAATAATTATGCCCACGACAGAGTAGGTTAGAGAACGCTGGCCAGTTGCCTATGCGCCACTAGGGGTAACAGGTGTAAGTTTTCTTGGATGGAATAGGTGAAAAGTTTTATTGATGTACACTAATGAGTCGATGAGCACTCATCAAAGACCTGTCCTACCATAATTGATGACTAGAATTCCGTTGATTAAACTGTAGTATGCACGTCAAACTGAGTGGTTCAACAGTAATATGCGCTTAGTATAAATACTGCGCCAAAAGACATCTTGAAGAAAAAGGTAAGTCTGAAGTATATACTACTGAAGAGGTTGAAATAAAGACAAAACATATTTCCACTTGCTTCCAGTCTTCAACTGTTCTCTTACCAAAGTCAATCAATAATATAAACTATGATCTTTTCAATCAAGGTCACAATTTGAAATAACTATTTATTCGGTTTTATACAAAGTATTTTCTCAATTCAATCACTGTCTACAGGTGAATCTATTGAGAAATCTTCGTCAAATTATACCTGCTTACAGAGTTTACAGAAATTATCTGATAAATTAATGAAAACTGTTAAATTTGAACCAGATGAAGGCGATAAGGTTCAACCAACTATTGATAAAAAGTGTTCAATAAAAACTGAACATGTAACTGATCAGTCAGATGATGAATCAAAAACTGATGAAGTAAGTTATTAAGTAGTAGTTGTACTTGGATTATTTCATGGTTTTGCTTACATTCTTTTGTTAATTTCCTTTTTCATGCAATGAAATAAGATTTATTTTTTAACAAAACAATTAAATTGAATACCTTTAAATGAAACGTTTAAAAAATCAGTAACAACTTGACGAGAGAGGTAATTCTTGGAATTCTAGTGTGAAATCATGATTATATCGTGATCCCTAAGGCCCATCGACGACATTGGAAGATTGTTAAGCAATATTGTAAGTCAATAAACATCAGATAACTAGGGCATTAACTATGGAATAGTAGTTATTAAGTTGAATTTGACCAATAAGGTTCAATTACGCTTAGAGTGAATTAGTCAATCACTCATTCATCAAACACATCTCATGAATAGTCATACAGTATTAGGAATGGACTAAAATTCAACTTGCGAGCTTAAAAGTGATACGTTCAACCTCTGGTGGAGTTATAGATTTGAGTAAAAGCTGGAGAATTGTTCGATAAAGAACTAATTCACAGGTTAATAAAAAATGTGAAACCGATCTTCTCTATTGTTGGGGACGTTAGATCCCCAGAAATTGCTTGATATATGTCTTAATTTCGGATTTTATTCATGGGCTGATCAGTTGACCTTGAGATCACACTTTCCATTGGGAAAACTCTTGGCTGTGATTGGTTGATGTGTTATTTTAGTATGCTATATTTGTGACTCTCCCAAGGACATTTCTATGATGTATAAATGAACGCGATTTATGTGCTTGATTGCATGGTGCTTGCTGGGTGTTTGTAGAATACACTTTCTACACCATATAAAGACTTTTCCGTCAGTTAGTTGGAGCAACCGATCAGTGTAGCCTATCATGTCACTGGGTTATATTGTCTGGCTCTCGTTTTCCAACTAAGATAAACTCGTAACAGTTTCAAGTATATCAGCTGGCGAGCATAACATCCTGCATCACACAATTCAACAATAAATAAATGAATAAATTATATTTTGGGGCACAGTTTTGCAGGTTTGCGTTTTTTGCACATTTGAAATAATCAATCAATCATTGTTAGACTACCACCATTAGAAACCTGGATGCACGAAGCTAGGAAATTCTCGGAGTTGTAGTTGAGAAGACGTGACCGATGGAGTTCAACCCTGTTAGGTGTAGGCAGTAACTACCAAAGACAAATGGATGAGGTAGTGCAGAATCCCTAGATCAATCAGAGTTAGACATTAACACCGTTGGATGCCGGCCCAGTGATCCGATGGTAAGGTGTTCGCCTACAATGCCAAAGGTCCCGGGTTCGAATCCTGCGGGGGGCGGGAGTCGTGGATGCGCACTGCGCACCAGGACTTGACGGCCGTCCAGTGCTTCTAGGTTTCTAATAGTGGTTTAACAATGATTGATTGATGATTTCAAATGTGTAGAATAAATTATAACTGACAGATTATTATTATTACTACTATTTTCTTTTCCTAATTTCCCAAAGTCCTCCATTTCACATGAACCGCCAAAAAAATATACATTACAATGGAATTTAATATCACCTAATCATGTAATTGAAGCAATCTATGAATTTACTGAAGATTTACGTCAACAACGTCAATCTTCCAATGATCATGATACTGACAGCGTAAAAAACTCGAAAGAACCTGATATTATTCCATTAAAAGATAAATTAAAAAATAATTTACAATCTATTAAAACAAATGAATCATGTTCATTGAATAAAAAAGAAACAAAACAACCATTTGATTTAAATAAAATTGATATATTTTTTGAGGATAGTATTCGTGATGATTCACAAGATTTAGCTTATTGGAATAAATATCAGTAAGTGATTTCTTCCCTCTTTTTTTTGAAAATTGAATTGGTTTAACCAATAACAAAATAGTTTGTAGTGTGTCGATTTATTACGCGTTCTTAAGCTCGGTAATTAGCTCGTCTAGACAATAATCGTTTCTAAAAATGGCGTCTGACGGTTTATAAATCAGACGGTGAACTCGTAGTGTTGAATACGTTTATTTGGGACACATACCACAAAGCGAAGCGGAGAAGTAGTGAGTAGAACGAAAGAAGCGACATGAATTGGAGAAGGCTGTTGAGCCAACACTCCAAGAGATAGACCATGACTAAGAATATATAGTCGAACCTGTCCGGATGTATACAGGGTATGAGGTCGCGCAACTCCGTGGATTTGATGAAGTTAGACATTAACACCGTT